GAAAGTTCAGCGTGCTGTGAGTACGAGGTGCATCTGTACAGTCACAGTCTCATGTTTGGTGAAGTGTTCATATGGATAAGGGGAGCTGCTTCCAACACTATTTTTGTTGCTTCTTTTTTGTTTTTCTTTTCCAGAAGGAATCGAAGGTTGACTTATGTTTCAAAACTGTTTGAAAGTCTCCTTGTTACAGAAGGCCAGTGCAAAAGGTGGTTGTGGACATCCTTGGTTACTTCATAAAGGTGTGGTGGGAATTACTGGTGGTAACGCATGTGTGAGACAAGGGTGGCTCTTGAAGGAAATAGGAAGACTGTATGGCTAGTTAAGCACTAGAGAATTTGGACATTATCTAATCCAACCAATCATTCCATCCCCACCATGCCCACTAATTGCATCCCTTGGTGCCATATCTCCATGTTTCTTGAACACTTTCAGGGACAGTGACTCCCCTGGGCAGCATGTTCCAATGAATGTGTCACCACTCTTTAGGAAAAATTTATTCTCCAAATATCCAACTTGAACTTCCCCTGGCACAACTTGAGGCCTCTTGTCACTGTTACCTGGAAGAAGAGACTGACTCTTACCTTGCTCCAGTTTCCTTTCAGGAGAATGTAGAGAGTGATAAGGTCTCCCCTGAGCCTCTTCCAGACTGAACAAACCCAGTTCCCTCAGCTGCTCACTATATTTCTTGTGCTCCATACTCTTAAAAGCCTTGTTGCCCTTCTCTGGACACACTCCAGGGCCTCAGTGTCTTTCTTGTAGTGAGTAACCCAAAACTGAGCATGGTACTTGAGGTGTGGCATCACCAGTGCTGAGTGCAGGGCTATGATCATTTCCTTCTTCAGGAAATGAAGATATGGGTGGGTGCCTTTGAATTTCCTGATGTACTAAATCTCCAAGCTTTGTTAAAACAAAAAGGGGAAAAAAAAAAAGTTAAAACCTAATGGGTTTTTTTTGGAGGGGGGGGAAATAGGCCACGCCTACTACAGGGCTTTTTTTTTTTTGCATGGTGAAATGGTATTTTTGGAGCTCTTAAATATTGTAATGCTGAAGTAGAAAGTTCTCTACTGTAATAAAACACAACAAAATTTCTTCTCTTGAAGTGCTATAAATGTCTTCATTCTGCAAACAGAAATGTTTTCCATGTTATTGGCAGTTGTCACAGTTAGAGACCCCACCTGGAATACTATGTCTAGTTCTGAAGCTCCCAGCACAAGTAGGACATGGAGTTGTTGAAATAGGTCTGGAGGAGGGCCTTGCAGATGATCAGAAGGCTGGAGCATCTCCCTTTTAAGGACAGGCTGAGGGATCTGGGGCTCTTCAGTCTGGAGAAGAGAAGGCTCAAAGAAGACCTTATAGCAGCTATCTAGGACCTGAACAGGGCCTACAAGAAAGTTGGGGAAGGGCTTTTATAAGAGCATGTATTGACAAGACAAGGGGAAATGGTTTTAAACTAGAAGAGTAGATTCCAAGTGTAGATTTTAGGATGAAATTCTTAACTGGGAGAGTGGTGAGGCACTAGAACAGGTTGTCCAGATAGGTTCTTAATGCCCCCTACTTGGAAGCATTCAAGGCAAGACTAGATGTGGCTTTGAGCAACCTGGTCTAGATGTAGAGGGGTTGGAACTACATAATTTTAAGGGTCCCTTCCAACCCAAACTATTTTATGATTAGTGTATGGTTCTGTTAACTGGTTGTACTTAGGTTTTTGTCAGAATTTTGTAGTTTGTGTGGGAGAATTCTACCTGTTAGGTTTTTATCTCAAGTCTTGTGGCTAGTGACTGACAGCCTCTTGCTGTTACAACAGCTGCTCCACCTCTTTCCAACATCAATTAAGGGAAGTTGCATACAATTTAGGAAAACTAGTCCTGGGGCTATTGATGAGGATGTCCATTAAGATAAAGGCCATGGAGGTGAGCAGGGGAGAGGAAAATGTGCATGGTTAACATGTTTCCTAGGTTACTTTCTGATTTTTGTGTGCTTTTTTTTTTCCAAGAGGGAGGGAGGGTAAGAGTGAAATACTGATAATGCTACAAAGGTGCCACACCCTAGTGCTACAGCAAGAATTATTGAGTGTGCTGGGAAAAGAGATCACCTTTGGATCCTTTTTGCTCAATACAGTACAGTTCAACTGAGTCATGTTGACTATATGCCTGCTGATATTCCATCACAGCTCAAAGCAAAAATTATATTTGCTTAACATGTTATTACAAATCAACTGGAAGTAAGTTCAAATTATTCTGCAGTTGGCTAGCTAATACAGTGTAGTACATAACTGGTAGCTCGCTAATGTGTGTTGACTGTTTGCCATCCTTTCACCCTAGCCTCAGTTTCTTTTAGGATCACTTTGTAACAGTGTATAGGGTGAAGATGAGCAGTCTTTGAAAGATTAGCTGGCATGTTCAAATGTAGGACTCTCAAAGTTACTTGATACAGGGCTGGCTTGGCTGTTTCTTTCAAAGACCACTGGAATTTTTCATGCAGATAAATAGAAATGTGTACTTAAATGCTAGGCAAAAGCTTTTGAGTATACTTCTGATAATTTTTACCATGATCATGTCACTGTTTTAAGTGTGGCTAACAGAGGGTTTCTGCCTCCCTTCCTGGCTAGAGATGTTGGAAATTCCATTTTGCCTTTTCAAGATCATTAGGATTTGCGCTGATCTTGCTGGTGGCAGATACAATTTGAGCTAAGACATCTTTGAAGTCATACTTATAATTGGTGGCTAATTTTATTTCATGACTTATTTTCTCTAGAAGCCACATCTTGCTCATTCCTGTAGAAATGTCATGGATGCCTGAGAATCTTTAACATATTCTTAAATTCCAGAGCAAAGGCTTAGGGTTGCCAAACCCTTCCCAAGGGTTTGTCTTGGGAAAGTTCTTGAATATATGGACTAAACACTGACTACAGTGAACGAGGACTGGTGCATGTCAAGCCAAACCCTTGTAAGAGGCAATCACAGTTGTTGCAGAGTGTTTCTGTGGACTGTGTCAGTTTGCATGTCCTATGGACTTCTTGCATAAAAAAAATCATGTAGATTTCTAGACTCTTGTATTCTGCAAGGGCTAACACCTGTTAGATGAACTCTGGATTGAGTACTTTAAAGCTGTAACTATCTTTTAGTTTTTCTAAGAATCATCCAGTGTGAAGGGAGAAATTTTTCATTTGTTTGCAAGTCACAAATGTGTATGGCTTGAGCCTGTCTTGTAACACTTGTTCTTCCAACTTTCCTCTTCTATAATGGGTTCAAAAATACTTTTGAGGGAATTGAGCACTGACCCTGGTAAATCCTTTATTTACTTTGAGACTGTAGCTCTGTGTCTAAAATATTGCTGTTGATCAGTTGACCGTGAGACAATGGGCTGGACTGAGCCTGTGTTGCAGCCAATCTGACTTGTTCTGTGTGCATTCCTGCAGGGAAGCCAGCTGTTTGGAGAGGTACCCTATTAACAGAAGGTAAAAAAAAGTCACCCTTTGTATCTGCTGTTGTCTCTGAGATCATACTGGTTAGACTACCAAAGCTCAGAGACCATACTCTGTGGCCCAGCAATTAAAGCTGCAGCATGAGTTGAGATGAGCTTGTGTGATGTGATTTCTTTTTGTCCTGTATCTTCAAGCTACTAGCCGCGTGCTGGAAGATTGTCTATGTAATTAGAAGCTGACTGCCTAAGGATGAGCTCTCATCCATGTGAATCAGTAAGAAACTTTCTTCTTTCTAATACCCTTATACCAGTGGGTTTTTTTCCCTGCCATGGAAGACTTGCATCTTTCAGAGTTCCACAAGTAAGTAATGCCACACAAAAGAGGACTTAATGGTTACAGAAATAGGGGTTGTAGAGGGATTTTTGGAGATCATCTAGTTCAGCCCCTCAGCTACAGCAGGTACCTTGCAGTAGGTTGCACAAGGAAGTGTCCCAGTGGGTTTTGAATATCTCTAGAGAAGGAAACTTCACAGCCTCCCTACTCCAACAGGGTAGCCTGTTTCAATGCTCAATAACCTTCAAAGCTATGATTTTTTTTCTCATATTCAGATGGGATTTGTATTCCCATTTATGCCTTATCTCCTTGTCCTGTCACTGGGCACCACTGAAAAGAGCCTGGCACCATCCATCTACCTTTTAGGTATTTATAGGCATTGATAAGATTCCCCCCTCATCCTTCTGTTCTCCAAGCTGAACAGCCCCAGGTCTCTCAGCCTCTCTTTATTTATAAAGGCAATGCTCCAGGCCTCTGTCCTCTCTGTGGCCCTCCACTGACCTCTTTCTAGAAGTCCCCTATATTTTTTGAACTGGAAAGCCCAACAGTGAACATGGAACTCGAGATGTGGTCTCACCAGAGCAGAGGGTTTACTTCCCTTGACCTGCTGGCCACACTTTTTTTTTTTTTAATGCATCCCAGTACCTCACTGGCCTTCTCATGGCTGTTCCACTGCATAGCTTAGAATTTTACAACACTGCAGGAGCTGCTAATTTTTGTCAAGCCTTGTATCAGGAAAGCAGGTAAAGATTTTGATTCTGTCTAGCTCTTATCTGCATGTGCTTTTAAAGTGGACTCCAAGTGGACTATCCTGCCTTTTTTGTTAATCTCCATCCTTCCTATTGTAAGAATAGCTTTCTATTGTTTTAATTCTTTTGGCAGCCCTCTTTCTGTCTGATCTAGGTGTAGTTCTGTAGTTCATCTGTGACAGTAGAATTTTATGTTCCAGGTGAGTCCATTGCTGTGCATGGTGTATCACTTCAACTTTCAGAAGATCATTTGTAGTACTTACTAGGTTTGCATTTTCCATTTTTGATGGTTGAATCAGTCCTGGCTTCAAGCCGTTTCTGCGTTGTCTGTGGGATGGTTAAGTATTTCTCATTTTCCAGTGAATGATCATTCAGCGTTTGTTATGAATTCTTGTTGAACCAACAAGTATTTGATCTCATGCTTCATCACACTGAATACTACTGTATTTATTTGATTTCTTAACAATTTAAATTTTGATTTGTTTTTTTTTCAGTGTCCACGTACTGTGCATGCTGGTTTTGCTTAATGATCCATGAGAGAATGTGGATTAATGACTGCAGCAACAGACCTTGCAGCAAGCCTTCAACTGTCCACTGGGTCTAGCTCTTCACCCTTGGAGTGAGCAAGTGAGAGGTGATTTATGCCCACTTGACTCAGAGCTTATGCCCCTGCATCCTTTGCAAATATCAGAGTACTGTTTCACTGAGGCCCCAAACCTTTCCTAGGCATACTCAAATGATCTTGCTGACTTATCTTTGCTCAGGTGCGATACAAGAGTTGGTTTATCACTGTCAAGCTTCTCCTCTTGTAGTGCACTGACCAGAGTCATTAGGCTCATGCCATGTGGCAGTATCTGTGCTTAGCAGATCTGATTCAGAGAGACTGAGACTCTTTCCACCTAAGTCTTTTCTCCACAAATGAGGGAGGTACCCAAACTGTTTATAGTTATGCAGACAGCCTGAGAAACTCAGCTGTCACCAGCAGTGTTTGATCCTGTCTCCCCACCCAAATGCAGTGTAAGCCTGGTTCCCTGAGCCAGCCTTTTTATGTTTTTAGCAACCCAAATCAGGGTCTGGCCTACCCAGTTTTAGCAAGCAGGAAGGGTGGAACATCCTGAGATCACTTGCCTGCTCAGCGCAAAGAGATCTTCCATGCATTTACTGCAGCTCTTTTATAGCTCAGCATTCCATGTTTGTGTTCTATTTGTGTAAATATGTGAAAGTACTGGCACCAGGGTGACACTGGTCTTTCTATTTTATAAGAAGTCCTTAAAACGCTGTGTTATGGCTAATAAAAATTCTGAAGCACAGTGACTCAAAGTTTGCAGTAAAAAATTGCTTGTTATAGAAAGATAGTCTGCCCTTTCATGGGGAGCAGTCTGTCTTACAGTGGTCAGTGTAACAAAGCACCCTGAGCATGATCTGTTTCCTGCAGGGGATGAGACTCAGGCTTACTGGAAAAGTCTTTCATAGTTGTTGGTAGTCTTCACTGCTCGGACACTTTGGTTTTCAAGAATAAGTCCTTTTTGAATATATGAGCTGTGAAATACCGGAGGTGGAACTGAGTTGTGCATGCATTTGTACGCAGCCCTGTGTTCTTACAAGTGGCAGTCTAGTGCAGCTCTCTGCAGGATGGACAAGAGTGAGAAAATGCACCATGATCTCTTTGCTCTGTATTTCCTGAAACTGGTATTTATCTAGTGGCACTGTGACATTCTCCTTAGTGTGGCAGGAAGGGTTCTGGATGCACGAGGCTGCAGGGTCTGCTGGTCTTGTATTGCATGTCCAGCAGTTCAAGTAGTGATATAATTCTATTTGTTGCTCTGAGCCCCGAATTTACCTGACATCAACTTCTGGACACTAAAACTGGGTGTGAAAATGACACTAATTTCTTATTTTTTTTTATAAGAAACTTATATACTTTTCTGAATTTAAATGCTTCCTATTCATGGCAAACATAATAAATAAATGTTCCAAGTTCTGCTTTACCATATCTCTAGATTCTCATCTGCTCTATTCTCTGCCATCACCTTTACTTTCCTTTTTAAAAAACTTGAGCTGTGCTCAAGATCATGACCCCTTCATGATATTTCTTTCAATCTCTTTTTTTCATACAGACTCACAGTAACACATAGGTACTTTGTTATGATATGCATGTTCTTGATTTCATCCTTCCCAATACGAATAAGTTAATTACATTTGTCTTCTAGTAGAAAAATTATGTTAAACAGAGAACAATATATTTTTAAGTCCTGTTTTCATCACTAGAGATGAACTTGAATCCAGAAGTTATAAGGAGAGATTTTTTTCTTAATCCCTCTGCTCTCCTTTTCCACTCTTGTTACTTTGCCTTTAACAAACCTTGTGTTTTAGTCTTCCAAGCATGTGCATCATTTCATGTTCCTCAATTGCCCTCCTACAGTTATGGGCAGCAATCTTCAGCTAGTGGGCGTTAACAAAATTATGATGACTTGAATCAGCTGTAGACTGCCTGCATATCTGTTTCTAATTCTGCACTAATTTCTACCTGGACAACTCATTATGAGGATGATTGTTTCTGCTTTTCTGCTGCTAAAGATTTGCCCAAGGAGAGGCTAAACACTATAGCAATAGGCATGTATATGTCTCAATCTTATTTAAAGAAGAAAATGGGAACAGTCATGGCAAACGCGATGGGGAAAAGCTTCAACAACCCTTGTGACAATTACGATGACACATTAGTATAGCAAGATCTTGTTAATGGCTTAGTGTTTAAGACAATTCTTCAGCTTTCTGCAAGTCGGGGCAGTTCATGATAATGTGTGTTTCTCAATTAGGGAAGAGATTGACAAGGCAGAAGGAGTCTCCAACCAGAAAATTACTTCATGATAATGCAGAAGAATTTTTTTTTTTAAATGGCTTAAGTGAGAGATTGAGTAAATGCAGCTTGACTCAGTCCTAGGTGAATCTATACAATTTGTTTTTAAAAGAGCAGGAAGTAAAACTAGATTTGGGGAAAATAAAAGGTTGAGTCACCAGTCTTAAAATAAATAAATAAAAATTTATGTGCCTTTGTCTTTGGATCTCTCCCCCATTTGCTTTTAATATGTGTGAGTTGAGTTTTGTTGGTAGCGCAGCAATTTACAGGTAATACTGAGGATTTCTAAAAACCCATTGGTTCAGTTTGCTTGTTCAGTAATCTCTGCTGTAAGCAATCTGCAGCTTGTACACAAGCTATTTAGGCTGTTCATGTTGAACAGGGCATATCCAGTGGCTTGTGCTGATACCACTGTAGCAGAGTGGCCTAATCCTGCTAGTATTATTACTGACCAATCAAAAAACTGCTAAGAGGAGTTATATCTAATGAACACCTTTCAAAAGGTTGATACAGGATTTAGCTTTGGTCATAGCTTTCTTCTTGTCTCCTCTGTGCAAAGAATGAAATTGAAGTTGTGGGATGTTTGGTTTTTTTGAGTTATGGTAAGGATACCAGAGCACTTATGAAACAGGCAGAGTACTGAGACCTTTCTGGGAAACTTGGCTCTGTGTGAATCATATAGAAAAGAATCACATAGAAAACTTTGGTGCTTATGGAAGCTATCTCTACATGAGGGCTGAAGCTGTGAACCATTCTGGGAGTCAGCTGCATATTTACCCCTTCAAGAATTTTAATCCTCAGTAGCAGAATTAGGTTTAAGTAATACATATGTTTTACTGTTGTAGAGTCTCTGTTTAGAGACTTTTTAAGAAAAAAAATCTAGCTTTTTGTAATGTTTCTTCCACCTTCTGTTCTCAGAGTTACTGTGGTTGAGCATTACTTTGATTCTCATGTTCAGAGTTTCCCTTTTTTGGAGACCTGACATGAGCAAGATGATCTGATTTGAATGATCTGTGGCTGGGTGAGGCTAGAGAAAGCTGTAGTGTTGGACCTTGACTTCTTGAAGAGGGAACTGGGATCCAAATCAAAGTAGTGGAATCTTTGTAAATGCAGATATCTTCTCAGGAATTTTCTGTCCTATTATGAATTTATGATTGTTGTGAATGAAGTGGTCCGTGTCTTCTTGGCAGGTGATTATTACCTCACTTATTTCTTTTTTTCCATACTACTTATGAATACAATGAGTAGAAGAGATTCCAATGAGATGTGACTTGGCTTCACTAAAAATCATTATCGTTTTCCTCTCTTTCCTCTATTTTAATTTGTTTTTCTATCTTTAGCCTTTGTATCTCGTGGCAGCTCAGGCCTTTTAAGAAGCCCTTTGTAAGACATCTTGTTTAAGTCAGATTTGCCTTATTCACTGGCTTGCTCAGGAATTGATGTAGGTTTTCAAAGCAGAGCTTGGATTCACAAAATCTATTATGGTTCTACCCCATATAACATATTGATGGGAATACTTGTTATTTTTATTACTTAGTTGCTTGTGCTAATTTAGCTCTTTTTATGGATCTTAACTAAACTGTCAGAAGTGTTTGGGTTTTTTTGTGGATTTTTTTTCCAATTTTCCCCAGTCATCTGGCAGTAAAGTGGTATTGGGTGAGAGGCTGCGTACCATCAGCAAGTCTAGTTTTTTCATCCTTTAACAGATTGAATGTTGTCTGTTCTCAAGGGCTATCTTCTTGCTGTTAGCTTTTCACTCCACTCTCTTCTAGTGATAATTTGTTTCTAAGACAAATCATCTAGTTGGTTCTGACATGCCTCTCCCTGGCTGTATTTATGCAATTTATGTGCCTAAATGTATAACCGTTTCCATTTATCACCTGTTCTGGGATATGCTTTTTTTGTTCCCCAGTATTAGTTTTGTTTTTTCCTTATGTGTATCTTTGAGATTTCTGAAGGCTTTTTTATTTGACAAGCAGGATGTGTTTATTCTAACATGATGTCTTCAAATAGTCTGTATGTCTCCAGAGAACATGCAGATTCTCCCTTTAGGTGCATTGATTTTTCTGTATGTATATGGTTGCTATCTTTAAAATTGAACATGGCAGTAGCTGGTCTTCTGGCTTTGGTCTCCCTGTAGAAGTGTTGACTTAGATGCTGATACTGTTCAGGTACAGGGTAGAAATATTACAAAGCAACTCTTGATTCAGACCTGACTGGTACATAAAATTGCTTCCCATCTTGTGAGTTTCCTCACAGCGTGTAGAAATCTAGTATTACCTGACTGCTCAGAGTAAGGATTTCAGATTTTATTTGAAAGTAATTGAAATAATTGTTCCCTGGCATTTTCCTTGTCTTCTCGTTACCACATTTCCTTTAGGCCACCTATGTAACTGTGTTTATGTCCTTGTTTAAGGTAAAGTATTCTGGGCCTGTGATACCACTGTTTTCTCAGATAATTCTGTTAAACATGGGAAGCATTGCTTTGGCTTTCTGTCTCTGCATCCTCTTCACAATGGACTTTTTTTTTTAACTTCTTTTTTTTTTGTCAACATGATGTATTTTTTACTTGAGGATGCAGCGTCTACCATAGCATTCAGAACAATGTATCCTCTGTGCATCAAAATGCTTTCTGCTAGTCAATTTGTAATGCTTGTATGCTATTCCTGTTAGGATGTACAGGTGTTGTTTTCCTAATCATCCTTTGCTAGGCTCCATCTATCCCCTAAGCTTCCCCAGTCCCTGATGATTCTGCACCTCTCTTTCTTTTTCTGTTGCTTTAGCCATGCACTGAGACTGCTTTCCTACTGGCTGTTAGGGGCATTCTGGTCTTTGGCTTCCCACTTGGCATCCTACATTCTGCGTGCAGACTCTCTCTCCTTCCTTTACTTGTAGTAGTACCTATGCAGATCACAATCTCAGCTAATTCCTCAGCATTTCCCAGTTTGTCAAGGCTTCTCTTCGCACCAACAGGCACAATCTCTCTGCAGTCATGCACTAAACCTGTTAGGTACTTGGTGATGGTGGCTATTTATCTGAGTTGGAAGGGACACTTAAAGGTGTCATAATCCAACTCCCCTCTATTGAACAGGGACATCTGCAACTAGGTTGCATAGAGCCCTTCCAGCCTGACCTTGAATGTCTTTAGGAATGGGGCATTCACCACCTCTCTGAACAATCTGTCCCAGTGCCTTACCACCCTTACTGTAAAAAAAAAAAAAAAAAAAAAACCTTCTTCCTTGTATCAAATCTAAATCTCCCCTCCTTTAGTTTGAAACTATTTCCTTTTGTCCTGCCATAGCAGACTCTGCCAAAGAATTTGTTTCCTTCCTACTTATAGCCTCCCTTTAGATACTAGAAGGCTACTATCGGATCTCCCCAAAACCTTCTCTTCTCCAGGTTGAACAGCCCCAATTTTCTCTGCCTGTCCTCAAAGGGTATATTCTATCTATTAAGTCACTTTTGTGGCCTTCTTCTGGACATGCTGTAACAGGTGGACATCCCTCCTGTACTGAGGACTTCACAAGACTTTACTGTCCTTTTATTCTGGCTGGAGTTTCTGCTGCAAAGAAGTATGGTCTATACAAGAGTGTACAGGAGATAGGGGGCCATTAGTCAGGGTTACTACATCCTTTACCAGTTTTGGTTCCTTCTTGACATTAAACTAGACCTGAAAAAAGCTTTTCCAATGGGTTGTTTTGCCTGCAGGTGAGAGTGTTCAGAGATCGCTGTGACACCTCCATGTCATGCATTCTTCCATCTGTGCCATAATAGCCATCAGAAGGAGCTCTGTCTCTGAGTACTTGGGAGTGCCAGAAATATTCACACCACCTGGGTCAGGTAATCATATGACATTTGATTCTTTACCCTCAGAAATTCTCACCCTCTAGCTAGGCTTTTGTCTACACTTCTCTTGCATATCTAGACTGACTCAATAAAAGTTTGCCAGTATGGAATGGAAATGCAGCTTGCAGTTAAAGTATTGAGAAACAATAACATGATGTATTATTAGTAACTGTACTTATTGAATTTCATAATAAATTAGATTCAGTCAGGGTATCTTCATAAATTATGAGAATCTAAAGCCTGTTGTTAGACTTTGTTTCGTACAAAAGAAGCTGACCTTCCTAAGAAGGCAGTACTGCAGTTATTTGCCTATGGACTTGGTGTAAGGTGGAAGCGAAAGCTCCAGCCATGTAAGAAGTACTTGGAGCAGCATGTTTCTTAGCTGGTGATTCCTGAGTTAGAGGAGTCAAATGAAGGCCATTCAGGAGTAGGGAAAGAATCCTTAGATGTTACAAAATCTATTGCAGCGAAGCAAAGAAAGTATCTGCCACATACATAAACCTCTTAGCCTGATGTTCTGTCCTCTAAATTGGCTTTCTGGAACAAATCTGTGTATAAGGTTGTGTAGGCATATATGTTTTTGAGTAAATTTAGTAAAGTTAAAATTGAGTGCAGATTGAGAAATGCTACCTTAGGTTAGTTTGTGCTTGTGATAATTGACTTCCCAACTAATTTGCCATTATAGCACAAGTAGAAATGCCTATGTAGACACAAATACCACATGTAACCTAGAAGATTTTTTCCAGGATGGACATGTCTGTGGCTAGGAGGTCTCAATCAAAATCAGCATCTAAGAAGCTAGGGAAGAATCACAGACTTGTCCTCATAATAACAACTACACACAAGTTCTTATCTGGCTAAACAGTACCTTTCAAGGCAGCTGGGGCAAATGCAACTGAGACTTCATCAGTACTCATCAGCTCTTTATCCGACTTCAGATTAAACACTGTCTCTCTAACACAAGCAATTTTTTCATACTGGTTCTGACTATAATTTCTGTTTTTGGTGTTTTTTTTTTTAATTATACCAAAAAAGGGAATAAGCTTTGTATCCTCACAAAATTTTCATGTCTCTTCTGATTTGGGGTGTTGCAGGGCGTGTAGTTAATGCTCTGAAAAGGCTTTGGGATTCCTGGATGAAAGGTGTGATGAAAGAAGTGTACTGTTATTGTTTTAGGGGAGGAATCATGCTACGGGGTAAGCCTCTGTCACTGAGACTTGCTGGACTCGTTTGTTCTGACTTGCCTATGACTCCTTTCTTTCCTAATTCAAGCGATAAAGCCTCAAGTCTATGCTGAGATGCTGCACAGTGTGTTCTGGAGTTCAGGACGGTACATCTCTCAGACAAAAGACCCTCTTCCTGACCTCTCATTGGTACTCAAAGGTGAGTGCTACAGCCATCTAACTTGCTACTTGGTGGTTTGTGCAGCATGGCTTTATAGCATATGGATTTTTGGGGCAATTTCTGGGCTTTGACCAAGGTGGGGGTTGGAGAATGAATGGCTCTAGTTCTGAGCTAATGTCTGATTTGGGCTGCCTTCTATGCATCAGTAATCCTTATACTTCCCCCTTTCTCCTCACCCAAAAAGCATTTGTTTTCCAAGAACTCCTTGGCTCCTCTACAGTGTGGTACTGTGATAAGGCAAGGTGGTCCATGGCCACAGGGGGCTGTGGGGGGCAAGTGAGAATTCTCTCACTACACTCTAACTCTGATCTACACTTATTGCTGCTGCAGTTAATGTGTTGAAGTCGCAATTGCTGGCAGCATGGTATGAGATGGTAAGTAGGTTGAAGTCGTAAAAGTAGCTTCTTGTGTTTCTGTTTACTTTAGTGGACTTTTTTGCAGTCAGTGAAGTGTTAATATGTGCAGAATCCTCTTGGAAGTGTACCAAATCTTGTACCACACTTTTTCACCACCCCATCTTGGAATGAAAGTCGAGCAGAAAAAAAATATGGATACTATAACTACTTGTCTAGTATTTCACTACCGAAGAAATGTGAAAAGGGGAGGAATGGCAGACAGAGTTCTTTCAAAAGCTGAAAACCGGAGGCCTACTGCTATATTCTGAAACTGATGAACTAATAGAATAAGGTAGTAGCCTATGGCCAAAGTATAAAATGATGTAGAAGTTGCAGAACCATATTGTAAACTGATTGTGTAGCCAAGTACTTAGTTTCCCTTACACTATAGTGACCTCTTATACCTTCATGCAAGCTGTAAAGTCCTTAAGGATGTACCTTCTTAATTCTCCTAAAACTTGTTACAGAATAGGGGAGTATTTCCCAAGATGTTGGCTGTGACAGTCAATTACAGAAAAATGTGTTATTAATGAAGTTCATTTCAGTTAGCCTTGTAATCCGTAGTCCCACGGATTGCTGTACAAGTATGGTAGGCAGGCTCTATCCCAACAATTGAAGAACTTACAATCTCCTAAAAGCTATGCACAAAATGGATGAGAGAAAGAAACAACAGAAATGTTTTGTGCTGATTGCAAAGTTGATTGAATAATCGGGGAAGACTGTATGAGCAGCATTTTTTGTTGTCTTAGATTTTTTTGCCAGAGGCTAACTGCTGCTCTTGAATCTTGCTGCAAGGACAAGCTGTTGTCTTTGCCTAGCTGTAAAGAGTTCCTGAGAAGCAACAAGACCTTAGCAGAGTTGTGCTGTTAAGGGGAGAAATAGAAGAAAAGCACTAGATTGATGTGATTGCTTATGGCAGAGGTGGGAGTAGAATTAGTATTGTTAGCGTGGCCATGTGCTTGTGCTACTGGTCTCCTGGGGTTAACCAGACATACTCCAATTGCTGCTGTTCTCAATCATCCTGCCAGAGAAGATTGCTTCAGGGATATAGTTTAATGTTGCACTTACTGAGCCAGCAGCTAAGTTTGTTCAGTTGTCTTTTGAAACGCCCCCATTTCTATGAAGACTTATTGGAGTGGTTGTGGGACTGTGCCTGAATCCTAGAATGAAAAACTGGGCGTGACTTAAGTATGAAGAGACCCTCATCAGCATGTTTGCAGACCACATTCTTTTCTGAGAGTACTCCAATATCATTGAGCAGGGATTGAACTAAACATGTTACAGGAAGACAATAGCAGATCGGATGGCATCTATTCTATGCCAAACTTGGCAGAACATTTTGAATAAATAGATGTTGCTTAAAAAAATTAAAAATATTGGACCCATTTGAAAGCAAATATAGGTAAGAAGTGCTATGAAGGCTTAGGTTAAGAGTTGAGGAAAAAATCAAGGGCAGATTCCTAAAACATAGTAAGGCAACCTTCCCTGTTTACCCAGTACTTAGACCCTTTTCCAAGGACATACATGGCAGTTTGACTTCCTTTCTTTGTCTGAACTGTTTTCCATTTAACAATGATCAGTTTTTTGAAATTGATGTCATTAAGGCTTTCGGTAAAACATAGTAGTTCAACAAGAAGAGATGGCAACTTGAAGTCCTATCCATTCTCTCATTTACTTTGCAAGGAAGATCAGACTTGTACTCCAGTAAAATTTCAGTACAAGTGTTTTATGATGTGTCAGTAACTATTAATGTAGCTTTTTCTTGCTACATTTCACTTATTTTTAAAATATCCTATATTAAAGCTTGTTATATACGTACAAACACCTGTGTTTATATAGAACTAAGTTATTTCTGAAGTTCATTTGGATGGCTTTTTTTCCATATGTAATAACTTTTTAGCCATCAAAATGCTTTCTTTGGTGCAGAACAAAGATGTGTAAAGTGTGAGAATAATAGTTCACATTTCCAGACCTAAATGAACCATGACAAGAGCTTGTCAGATGCTACAGTCACTGGATTATTGTGGTCTTCTTGGAAATGAAGTGGTTTTTAAATGAACACTGACTGCTAGAGGAGGTCTGGTGTTTGTTCATAGTCTCACTAAGAGTTTTGATCTGAAATTTTCTACTGTATAGTACAGACCAAAAGCCTCCTGATATAGACTGTGAAGAGGTAATTTTCAGAGCAGGGAGGACTCAGTCTTCCAAGTGGAGATCTCTTAAGGATTTCTTTTGGGGAATTAAGGTTATTTTCATGCTCTCACTAAAGTGGCTGCTGTGCTGGAGAACAAGTATATTGGTGTTTCCTAAATTCTTGAATTTCTCTCCTGAGAATGAAATGGCAGGTTGCTTGTTATTAATGTTATTATTTTACTGTCCAAACATCAATATATATTTTTTTTATTATAAGGAAAAGATGCACCTGTAAGTGAAGGTGATCAGATCATCTTTGCCTCCGCATTCTTCAGCACCACAGAAGAGTCACTGTTTCTTTAGCCAAGGGTGTGTAGTAGGGTGGAGCAGAGTTTTCTTGGTGACTGAAGCATAGAGAAGATCATGCAGAATTTTGATCCCTGAACATAGGGGTCCACCTGCCACTGAACTATTTAACTATAGTGACAGCAATCTAAGGCACAGGAATCCCTGCCAGGTGGTTATTCTTGTAAAGCATGAGAATCCTGCACTTCATGATATAATAGCAAAAAGGCTCGAGGAGTGAAGGAGCTAGTTGGTGATGTAATACATGATTACTGACTGAATGTGCGGAGTGGACGTAATCTGAACAAGAACTGGCTCTTCCTAACATCATAGTCAGCCTTGGCATGTGCTGCTCCAGTGCAAGCAGTACATACTTAGTGCTGCCTGTACTCAAGCTTTTCTTCAAAGACTATAGCTGCTTTTGGGTCAAATAAGTCTTTCCTCTGCTGTCTGATTCCTGGAATGGGTGGCTAAAGATTAAGTATTTTTTATAAAGCTCTAAACAGAGAGCTTTTTCTTCCCAGTGCCTTTGCACAGCTGGTGACTAGCAGGTCTGCTGCTGGAGTGAACAGAACTGATAGATGCTGCTTACTTATCTAGGTCCTGCACTTGAGCAGCACAGCTGAAGGATGTATACTGGCAGCTGTAAACATGAGGAGGTGGTGGGAAAACTCACAAGTGATTTTTCTTGTCCCAGTTCTTTCTTTAGCAAGGTGGAGATGAGGGCATCCTTCTAAAGAGAGGAAACTGGGATTTGGGAAGGTGTTTCTGCTTTAGTTTGTATGTAACAAACAAAGTAACAACCTATATGAATATAGAAATATATTAAGTGCTTCCTTTAAATTATTTTCTTAGGACTGAATACTATGTGCCTCTGCAACTCAGAGATTCCATGGAAAGCAATCTTGACTAGCTCAGACTTTGAGGCAGCTCTCACGTGCTGTACAATCTGCTTTGCACAGACCTTCCTACAGAAACTAAGTCTGTCTAGTGAAAAGAAAGGTAGATTTGCAGAAAACTTTTGCAACAAAACTTAGCAGTGAACACCACCTGTTTGAGAGCATAAAAATTTTCCTGCTTCCCTTCTTAAGAAACACTCTGGGATATGTACCAACACTCTCTAGCTAAAACCAAACTTTTGGGTGAGGAGATTACTGTGTGAGTTGTTTTCAGCTACCCCTGCTCTTGCTGAACACCTCTGTGTGTAGACATCTCAGCTTCTTTCGTGGCTCTACCTTTTTTTTTTTCTTTTCCTGATTTGTGTTTCCTACCTTGCCTTCCTCATAGCTTTGCTCAACTTTCTCATCCTTAAGGCGGAACGTAGAACTCCATTCACACTCCCCTGACTTCACTATTCTTTGCTGTCATAGGTTTGTGTGTTGTGCCTTTTCCTTCACTGCTGATCTGTTCTCTGAGCGCACATCTTAAGCTACTGGCAGGTTTTGCTGTTATCCTGTTCTGCTGGCTCATTTTCGCTTTCACTGTGCTGCCTTGTTACCCCATGGTGAGAAAACGTGAACCTTCCATCTCTCTGCCTGTCTGCTCATTACTGCTCCTTTCTTTTCGGGTGTTATTCAGAAATGACTATGCCAAACGCCTGAAAAGGGGGACTATAACATCAAGTGTGTCTGACCCACAGCAAATGCAAACCCGGTTTAGTGGTAATAAAACAGTATGGTGACTAGTCAGCTAAGTGCCTCCTCAGAGCTTGCTATTGCTGTGTTTCACTTCAGTCATTTTGAGGAATTATTTCACATGTTCTTCTAACAACTTGTACTAATGCCAACCACAATGTAGAGACTCAATGCATGGCTTGACAACAAGTACATAGCACACTGTAGAATTACTAGGGTTCTGAAATAATTGCAGTTAAGGCTTTGCATCATTATACAGCAACATGTGCAAAGATGCAGTTTTCCTAGTGTTCTCTTGCCTAGTGCAGCACAAGAGGAAATAAATGGAAGAAAAAGGCTCATTCTTCCTTTATCCACATGTGAGTCGGGTTCCCAACCTTTTCACAGGTCTCTTGTTGACTTTTAGTGCGTCACTAAGACTGGGTCTTGTTGCCATGTGTTGACACGTTAGTAGATATTTCTCTCTTTTCTGTCAGATTGTCTAGCAGGAGCCACAACACTGTCTCTTGCAATGTATGCATGCTTTTGGTGAGAAGAAACCCAAACCTGGTAGGAGACCAATACGTGTTACTACTCATAGCAGAGGAAAATAACTAAAAACTGTTTTATGGCATCTCTTATATCTCAGAGTGCAGAAGTTATCACATCAGTCTGGAATTATTACAGTCAAGTTCAGTTTAAGCACCTGTCTGGACAGCCAACTGCACTTGAAATCTGTGTAATATTTCTTGATGGGAAATAGGTATCTCTAGAGACTGTACTATACTTGAGGCTTTTCTCAGATGTGGATTAGAGGTAATGAAGGCAAGTTGGAACACAGGAAATTCTTACTAAATATAAGGAAAAAAGCTTTTGCTGTGGGGAGGGTGATCACAGGCTGAAAGAGGATCCTGAGAGGCTATGGGATCTCTGTCCTTGGAGATACTAAAAACCTGATAAAGCTTGGAGAAACCTGCTCTAACGGGAGTTTGTTTGAGAAGTTCAGACCCCTAGCATTCAGGAGCCTTTTCAACCTACTTGCTTTTGTGAGTCTGTCAGTGAGCTGAGTTAAATTGGGCCAGGTACAGTTTTGCTCAAGGTGTGCTATTGTGTTACTAACAGAGTTGAATTTTTACATATTTTCTTTTCCAATGCAGATATTGCCTGAGATGGACTCAGGAGGGAGGAATGTGAAGCCATGGAAGATAGCTGTCATCGTTGTGTCAGTGATAACCGGTCTGGCCATCATCATTGGCTTGATTTCTTATTTTTTGTGCCATTGTAAGTGCATTGTTTTGTTGTCTTGAGTATCTACTGTGTTTTGCTTGCTGTTGTAGTCCTGCCCAGTAATTTAATTATGAAATCCACTGCAGGTTTATAATCTGCATGAGAATTTATTAGATCCTGTTAAAGTCCTGTATTGACTGGAAATTCTTCAAGAATACTTAAAATGTCACTTACTTGAATGAGGATTTAAAGTTTGTCCATTCTTCAGTTTGTCTTGCCCTGCTACCTCTACTGTTATCCATGGTTAGGCAATAACTGTGTTGTGTGGAAGCCCAGAAGTATGTCTTAACACTCAGGTAATGTATGCATAGTAATTTTGGTCCTGAACAAGGTTTTTGCAGAAACAATCTGGTACACTATTACAAAAATAGAGAGGTTTGGGTCTTCTGGAGTCCTGATTGCCAAGGACTCTGTTTTAGTAGTAATTGAGTGATGCCACTCTGTTCCTAGTCTACTGCTGGGAGGTGAGGGGTTTTGAAATTAATTCCTGCCATGAGAGAACTAGCTGTATTGCTGTCTTTGCTCACCAAGATTCAGTGAGGCCATGGATAATCAGAGGATGTTAGACAATAGAGTGGCAAAGCTGTAGCTTATTTTTGCAAATAGCTTTTTGCTAATTCTGTATTGTAAGTGCCATCAGCCTTCCCCTGAGAGACAGATTTTAAACTTAACCCAGCTGCTGAATGAATGTGAACAGCTCTGGGAAGGCCACCTGCCTCTGAGGGGCAGGAATGTGCCAGAAGGAATCTAGTCTGGTCCTCAGAAAAGATTTGTAGTGAATGTAATTCAGAGCTGCTTGGGATGGTTGGAAGGGTGGAAGTAAGTCCTTAGCTGTGTGGTGTGGCAAGATGTCTCAGATTCCCCTTGTCTCACTGTACTGTCCAGAGCTTGGCCACAGCTGATAATGTTGCAACCAGAGCCTGGGAATCTTGTGCCATGCCCTGCACAGAAACTATGCATGTCTGATTTGTACTGAAGGAATGAAGCAACTTGTCCTGTTCCTCTCTTATGTAGATCAGGACCGATATTACAATGCAACTTTCCTTATCACCAATGTCCCATATGACCTTCAGTATGGAAGGCAAACGACAGAGGAGTTCAGATACCTGAGCCAAGAGATTGAAACTATGGTAAACTAAGTTGTTTCTCTGTCTCTATCTGGTCTATGGTGAAGAGTCCTATGATTGTGTGGTTGGAAATAAGAGTTAGGGGTGATTGTGCTTCATGCTCATATATCTAGATTAAATAGACTATATTAGGCTATTCCAAGGGCAAAAGGTAGGAGAAAGTAAGTGCTGTCTCTTCTCTGGCTCTGCCATTCATCTGTGCTTAGTGGTTTAGACTACTCAGTTTGCTACTGCCAACAGAGAAACTGTCAATGACAAGGTTAAATTTTAAATGCTTGGGAAACAGGGGAGATTGCTGGGGTGGAAGAACTCTGTTGAAAGTCTGTCATGCATATGGCTCTCAGCATCATGATGTCTGCATGCCTTGCAATTTTTCTATGGTACCTATCTTTCCAAATCTTGTAGAGGTAGCTTGGTGGTGGTTTTGCTGCTTAGGGTGGATGGGAAAAACAGCACAATATGATCAAGGCTGAGCTTATTGGTATAAAATGTTTAGTTCTCTTAGAAATAAGCTTAGGGGTTTTGCCACAGTTGCACAGGACTTGCACAGAGAGCAGTGAATGATCCTGTACACCCTTACACCAAGTCAAGGAGGACTTTGAAGCAGTCATGGACATAATCAGTGCAGGAATAGCACTGATTGGTGGAGGATGTTCTTTGCTGGCTGGTGATGTGGATTGTACCCAGCAATTTCAGTGCTATTACTTATTGTACTTAGAGATCTGGGCACTAAAATTGCAGGTAACCCCTATTAAATAAGGACTATACTGTGGAAATCAGTAACTAAAAGCTCAACTGTCCAGCAGAGGAAGAGTTTCAACTCTGTGATGCAATGTTCCAGTTGAGCCTATATAGGATATAGAACTAGAGCTGTAAGAGGTTGTTTGCCCTGCACATGCATACTGGCAGCTGTACTGTTGCTTAGCATAGCTTTCTTTTCCTTTCAGCAGAGACACCAGAAAACTAGGGTGGTACAGAAAAGAGACAAAAATTACTTCTAGGGTGCACAAAGTATAGTAAGAAAGGCATATACGGACAAAATAGCAAAAGAAGTCCTGGTAACTTATTTAAAGCAGAAAGTTGGGACGGCATGTCTTTCTGGGAGCTGTTATGTGATTTGGCTCAGGACAAATTCACCCTAGATTGTAGAATCATAGCCTCAGACAGTTCATCCCCATTGCTTCTTGTCCTGCCACTGGACATTACTGAAAAGAATCTGACTCAGTCTTCTATACAACCTTCTTAGTCATCTTCCAGTCATCTTTATATCCTCCCCAGTCATCTTCTGACTCTAGCTTTCAACAGGGAGTGTTAAATTCCTTGTTGCTGTCTCTGCACTCAGGAAGGAGGAATTATACAAGCAGTTCTTCTCTGCTCCACTGTAAATTTGTCAGCTTTGTCTTTTAAATATTACTATAGTGGTAGAGACCTTGCTGTGTGCAAGCAGATAGTAAGCATGTGTGCTGTCTGTTCCAGAAGCCCTGTAATTGAAAAGATACCCAGAGAGTAGAACAGAGAGCAGAATTTGCTAATTCAACTGTTTATTTTGATTCTGCAATTTCCAATGGAAGTTCAGCAGTAGCTCTGATGTAGAAATAGGGCTCTAAAGGCAGTTTTTGTGTATTAGGGGTTAACAAGACTGTTCCAGTTTGAGAGGATGCATGTATTACGGGTGTATTTTATATACTCTTTTCCTTTAACAGATGTCTAAAGTATTTAAGGGGTCCTTTCTGAGCCGCAAGTACATTAGATCCCATGTCATCACTCTAAGGTAAGTAACATGAAGGTCAGGAACAAGCAGAAATGTGATAAATATAATTCCTTTCTACCCCTTGACCACAGGGAATGTACATGGTTGCTTATGCTTGGATCATGCTAGCTGGATATCTCAAGTCTAGGCTTGTTGTCACTTTCCTTCAGAACTTTCAACATTTTTGAGGACTTAGGCTACTTCAGAAATGAGCAAGGAAGAGAAAATTGTCCATATACTTCTGCAGATTGATTACATGAACACTAGTTCTTTGTGGCTGTGATGCAGTAAATTAATTGTTAGGTGATCCCAGCCTTCGCTGCTAATTAAGCGCCTGAGTGATCCAGTCTGCTCTTTATTCCACATTGTATTTTCTGTAGAAACTCAAGCTGGTATTTACCACCCTGTGTGGTGTATAGCAGGAGGTGACTATTCTCCCCCCTGAAGAGGGGAGAAGGAATAAATTCCAGTGTGAGATAATTGCAGACCGAGGAAAGCAGGCAAGTGATACATACGGATATGGAGGTTTCTGTGAGACTTTTTAAGTCTCCATTCTCCACGCATGTATTTCTGTCAGTAAGACAGATGGTAAGAACCATCACTTCCCTCTTTGTCACGTGATTTGGGTTTGGAGTAGTTGCATTTCTGTAAGATGCAAATCTGCTGTGGAATATTTTTCCCTGGACAGCAAAGAATGCCATGCTTCCTGCGAATGTCCTTTTCCACAGCACTCTGGGACTCTTTTACAATCATAGAAAGGCTTGGATTAGAAGGTACCTTAAAGACCATTCAGTCCCAGCCTCCTAATGTGGGCAGATTTACCACCCACTGGAGCAGGCTGTCCATTGTCCCATCCAACCTGGCTTTGAACACCTCTGGGATGGGACATCCACAGCTTCTCTGGGCAACATGTTCCATTGCCTCAACACCCTCTGTGTAGAGAATTTCCTCTTGTTATCTAGCCTAAGTCTCTCTTCATTTTTTTTAAAAACTGTTCCTCCTTGTCCTATCACTAGTAAATCATATAGAAAGTCTCTCTTGCTTTGACCTGTGTCTATGTGGTTATTTCTTTAAGCTGTTTGACATTCTTTTTTCCACTGCTGGTTTCTTCTGTAAGCCTTCCATACTCCGTATTAACTGGAATTATAAAATTTCAGTAGACTTCAAGCAACCTCTTTACTTTTTAGGCTGACTGAACAGTGCACTGCCTCTAAACTTTCACTAGAGACACCTTATCTCATGCAACTGAGCACTGAGTCAGCTCACCTGCATCTCTGCTGTTTTTGCCTCTGGGTTTCTTTTGGTTTTCTTTTGGACTGTTTGTCTAAAGTATTGGGCTTCATATTTTATACTGATATTAAGTGATCATGCCTTGTTTTGTTAAAACAAACTATTAAGATTTTTCTCTGGATCCAAAGGAACTTTCTCATAAACTGACAAGTAATTTAAATGTAAAGAAATATCAGAAGACATTTTTAATTTCTGTAGGACTAGACTAAGCTGCATAGATGCTAAAGGGAGTGATCTTCCCTCTCCTCCCAGAAGATTACCTCTGATCACTGTTATAGTATAAACCAGGCCTTTTGCTGCCTGCTGACATATGTCATCCTACCTTGCTTGTGTACTGCTATGCTATTCATTCTGTACATCAGTGCAGACCAGACCTGTTCCCATATAAGGAAGGCAGACATCACGAAGCAGGACACAGAGGCTTAGTGGGCAAAGAGATGACACCACTTTGTTTATGTTGGTTTGCAGCCCAGATCCTGGTGGAGTGCTTGTATCTGTTGCTCTGGTATTTAAATTTCCCTCAGCTGACAGTAAGGCAACAAGCTGGAGTCATGTCAACAGTGTGTTGCGTAGAAGGCTTGAAACAAGCTCAACGTTCTTGAATGTTGACCAGTCTACTATTAAACTCACAGGCAAGTGGCTTAGGTTTTTGTTTATAGCTTGGAATTTGTTCCTCATACTTTCCTAGTTCAGCATAATGAGTTTCACTTAACTGTGCAAATATGTGCAATTTGTTTTGTTTTCTTTTTTCAGACCTGTGGTATGGGCAAGCCGTATTGCCTTACTGGATGGCAGCCCAGGAACCTGAAAGAAGTAGTAGCCTTAAGAGAGCTAAAGCATACTGATACCTAGTTTATATACATGAGAACTCCGCTCTGTGCATCAGAAGTTCTGTGTTTAACCTGGCTTTGATACAACAGGCCAATATAATTCATTGAAAAAAAAAACCCAACTTTGTAACCCAGGTTCACAGATTACTTTGCTAAGGCAGACAGTGAATTGGAGAGGAAGCTGTATCACCAGGTTCTTAAATGTGAAGTCCTCAAGCTGTTTAAAAAATGCAAGGCTGAGATGGTTCCTTTCTCCATCATCTGTCATTTCCTTTGCATATTTGCCAGATTGCTGTAGCAAGTATGAATAACTAAACATTCCTTGTACACTAATCTTCTCACAAGAGTCTGCCATTGTTTACCACCAGAATCTGTCAGCAGGTTATTTTGTAGGGAAGAAATCAATGACATTACAGTTTAGCTCCAGTCAAGCCCAGTACTGTGACCACCTTGCCATAATGAATGTCAACATATGCATACAGGCTTAGTATTGCATAGTCTCCAGCACATGCAGATGTTGTTTGAGCCTTTTTAGTCAACTACTGCTTTTTTTTTAGCTTTGAGTTAAAGACAAGAAAAATGCATCCTTTGGCCTTGCACTTTGAGTGAGGAACAGAAGCATAGCAGAACTTATTCAGTAGAGCAAATTACTCTTTTTACCATACTGTTAATACAAGCAGCAATAAAGTAATTTCATTGTTTGCTGCATACAAGGAGTCTGTCTTAAATCTCATATAGATTTCATATAGCATTGTGAAATATCATCAGTGTATTTTTTTTTTCATTTCAGAATTGAATAAGGAGAATGGAGATAACCTTATAAACAACTGTAAGTACAAATGTTTTATAGAAATCAAAGGACTTAGTACCATCAGCAGTGTTTATAAGATTTTTACGCTTGAGATGCAAGTTGAAAAGGTTTTTTTAAGCTACTAGAACAATAGGTAATTCATGAGCCAGAGAAGATTTTAGCTTTTTTTTTTCTCTTTGGAGTTTTACTTGCTCTGCAGTGTTTACAGTTAGGCATTCCAATTTGATGGTGGTGAACTTTAGTTTTCGCTATGGTAAGTAGACAAGTTGCTCTCAGTGAGCTTTGCATGAGGACTGCAGCTGTTGTGAGCTGAAAATCTTTTTGGATCAGAGCCTGTTACCCAATAAAACTAGCAAGACTGAAAAATCAGAGCATTAAAATGTTGTCCAAGTTGTGTCTTTCAAACATTCCGTACATGTAGTGCTAAGGAAAGTCCTAGCTTTCTCTGAAGATGGTCATGCCAGATCTTTTTTTCTACAAGACAATCTGCTGTCTGCAAAGCCCTTGTTTAGAACTTTGCTTTGTTGTATATGCATCCATTCCTGCCTGTGCCCTAAGCTGGTAAGCCATTTTCTCTACAGCCTTCCATTGCCATGGAAGTTCACTGCTTTGTGTATCTGACAACTAGTAATGTTTTTACCAATCTTCATTTACATCATATCTATTCTGAAACCCTTGTGACCACAGCACCTAATTTCTCTGCTCTTGAAGGCACTGTTTTAGGTGGAGGCTGTCTCTTGGCAGCTCTGCCCTGTTGTGCTTTTAGCAGTAGCCATATGGGTCTGCCCAGTAGGCAGACCCTGGGTTTCCTCAATCAGCTAACACAGCTGCCTTTGTTTTGTTTGTTTTGTGTTTTTTGACAGTCTGTGGAATACGAAAGGAGGCATTCTCCTTCTCAGGAGTGGAAAGAATAACTGATGGACAACGTGCACGGGATGGAGAATGGCCATGGCAAGCTAGTATTCAGCTTGATGGGACACATTACTGTGGTGCATCAGTGATCAGTAATACATGGCTAGTGACTGCAGCCCATTGTTTTAAGGCGTAAGTTATCAGCACCTTTCTGATCTTGTAAGCCGTACAACTTATGGGTGCTCTGATAAATCTACTCTGACTTTTCATGAACCACTAATGTCTTTATCTGATGGAAGAGGATGAAGTTTTGCTCTTTTCTGTTCTGTAGACCAAGCTGACCATGTTGTATTTTTCTTAAATAGAAAGCTGTTTTTCTATGGAAATCTTTTTTTGTGACATAATTGCCTATGTTTTTCAGAGGAAGAGAACCTCGGAGATGGACTGCCAGTTTTGGAATTCTGTTGAGGCCTCCAAAACAGAGAAAATATGTCCGAAGAATTATCATTCATGAAAAATACAATGGCCTTTTCCCTGATCATGAGTATGATATAGCTCTTGTGGAACTTGCCTCATCTATTGAGTTCACAAGTGATGTGCACAGTGTCTGTCTTCCTGAAGCATCTTACATATTACGAGATAATACTTCCTGTTTTGTCACAGGTTGGGGAGCTTTGAAGAATGATGGTGAGTGTCTCTTTACTCCCTGTGGAGGCTTCCTTGCCTCTCAGACATGTCTAAGAAGACTGTTGTTGATTTTATGATTTTGATTTATTTTGCTCTGGTGGACTTAGTTTGTTGGTGTTGTTTTAATCAATGGCTTGGAATATAGGAAAAAAAAACTCCTGCAGGATAGCTTTATAGGATTAAGAGCAGCTTTTTTGTTGCTGCATGCATTGAAGTGGTCAAATGCATTCCGTTGTCCATTCTCACTGGTCTAGTCCTCTGACATGAGCTAAGACAAACCTTTCAGTTATGTCTGTCACAGATCTATCAAATTTTTGTCAGTTAATCTTCCTTTGATCCTAATTCAGGCTTCAGTTCATCAAATAGCTCAAATGAGCTTCATTCAAATTGGCCAATGTCACTGAGATTAGAGATGATGAGACTAATTGTGTTAGTAGAAGAGCAATTTGAGCTATAAGCTGTATTTCATGATAGACTCTTGAGATGTACAATAATGGTCTAAAGTTGCTTTGCAGTTAATCAAACTGTTGGGTCTTTCTGTTGGCATCAAAGATACACAATAAAGCCAATGGTTGAACTGCACGCTGAAATGTACAAAAATCCCTTTGCCTTTTATGTTAAAGACCAGCTATTGAGAGTGAAAGATGGGGAAAAGTTGTGTTTGGAATGAGCGGGTGAAAGATTTCAGGCAAAAATAACTTTCTTTAGACATTCTTCGGGCAATGGCAGGAAGGCTGTAGGAAAGCCTGGCTACTCCTAATCCTCGCATATCTTAGATTGTGTACGCTGCAAAGTCTAATGCCACTTTTTCTTCTAGGCCCTAGTGTTAATCAGCTTCGACAAGCAGAAGTAAAAATTATTAGCACTGCAGTTTGTAATAGACCACAAGTGTATGCTGGAGTGATAACACCGGGAATGTTGTGTGCTGGATACTTAGAGGGACGGGTGGATGCCTGCCAGGTAAGTTTCATCTTAAGAAAGAAGTAGTAGGTGGGATGGAAAGTTCCTTTTCCTAGAAATAGGAAATAATTAAGACTCTCCCGAGGTATCTTTTGTTTATGGGGTTCAAGATCTTCAGAAATGTAAATTGAGAGCTTCATTGCTTCTAGATTGTGATCTGCACTTAGGTGCTTATTGGTTTTTTTATGGCATACTTCTGAGAGTAGACAGATGTAATGGTCTAGAATAGGAGAGACTGTATTAGATACAGGCTGTCAGCCTCTGTCCTCTCAATAAACCATGCAGAGGTAAACTTTAAAGCTGTGATCTAGAGAAAAGTTTCTGTCTGTTGTAACACAACAATATGATGCTCCCTGCATTGGCGAAGTGAATGTTATTTGCTTTTTGTTCTTGTCTGCTGACATTTTTTCTCCTTAGGGTGACTCTGGTGGGCCACTGGTGAAGGCAAACTCCAGAGGAATCTGGTATCTCGTGGGAATAGTGAGCTGGGGTGATGAATGTGGCAAGGCAGATAAACCAGGAGTGTACACGCGAGTGACTTCTTATCGAGACTGGATCGCTTCCAAAACAGGCATCTGAAACCTTCAGTTGTTTAAGTTTTGTGGGCTGTGTGAAGGGCTATTCCTTTAACACGTTCTGCTCTGTGGTTACCCTCTGAACAGCTGCTGCCTTGGCACGTGATGATGTATCAAGTGCTGGCAAGCTTGGAGTAGTCTAGGACTTGAAATTGGTTTGGCCTACAACCAGAAAGGAATGAACTCAATCATGTGACACAGCAGTTTGTTCAGGAAGTACTCTATCAAAGGGACAAAGACTTTGGTTTCTGTGCAACATAGAGACCCTCTTCTCTGTGTCCAAATTTTCTGGCTGCTACTCTGTGGGCCAAGCATGAGCCCACAGATCCGTTTATCAGGATCTAAAAACAGTTGTAACTAAAATGTGACCCATCCATTTGCTGTGTGCTTCTAAGGCCCTGCCTGTCTGTAGACCAGCCACCATTGAGGCCCTGACTCTAAGACTGCTGCACTTCTGAATTCTCCTCGAGTTTTTTTTCCTGCATTGTTCCATGGAGCATGTGCTGATAATGAACAGAAGTTTGCTTAGAGAAATTTCATTTCCTAGAATCATGTCATACAATTACCTAAGTGAACTCAGAAGTATTTTTTGCTGTGTTGTCCTGAAAAAGTGATTGCTGAAAAAAGCCAGTTTCTATCCACCGCCTTTGAATGTGTCTACTTCCTGCTTCTTATGAACAGCCCCTACCACAGCATTTGCCATGAAAGTGATTTCTGGACTTGAGATCAAGTAGTACTTTGTGTTCACACTAGTCTATTTGCTATACATAAATATCTGGTTGAATGAAATTCCATTTTAAAACTTTCCAGATTGTATTGTTTTTAATAAAAGTCCTAAGCTCTTTTGTGCAGGTTTGTAACAACCTCAGTATGAACATTGCCAAAAACTATCTCCAAACCTGCTTATTCTCATGAATGGTGTTCTCAAATCTTATTAATATAGAAAAGTTCGTCTGTATCTCTTCAGTTACGTTAAAAAAAAAAAAAAAAAGAGTTGTGGTGGAAATATCTATCTGCATGTCTACTTCAGAACAAAGAATGAGCCATAAGTCAAAGTAAAGATCTTTTTCCTGTCAGGAATTAATGACTGTGTTTTATTGATAGACCATAGATAACTCATCTGGTCTCACAAACTTCATAGTCTCTCTACCTTCATTTTCAGGAGATGATGTTTCTCAAACTTTCTATACCCTAGAAGTGGAATGTGCCTACTCTTGATGAAGATGCCTTCCTTAATGTATCTGCAGAGTATCTCCAATGTTTTATTCTGGTTGCTAATATGGACAACAGTGAGTGATCTTAACTGCTAGATACAGGAGTTACTCACTTGCTTCTGATAGTCAGAAGAGGAAGAACTCAGCAAAGGAAATACTAGCCACACTGCCAACAACCAAAGCTGATGCAGTGTGGCAGACAAGCTAGGCCAGAAAAGACAAGCAAAGAAACATCTTCATAGTTAAAAGTTTTTGGCATCTTCATAGTTAAAAGATCTGAGAATAAAGGGCCCTCACTAATTTTACTCTTAGGATTTAAGTGTTGTCCAAATTCAGTACAGGTCAGTTAACATCATCAATGTTAATACTAGGGATCTTTGCAGCTTGCTTTAAGCCCTGCCCAACAGAGCTGCAACCCCTCAACTTTGTGGAATTACTTTTACACATCCCGTGATTTAGGTGCCTGGAAGCACAGTGAACCATGCTTTGTCTTTACTGGAGGTGTGGGGTGTTTGGACTCTCAAAAAAGATTTGCATGAAGGAGAAGGGTCTGAGGCGGTGGTTCTGTGCTTGTATATGTTGTGAACACCCAGCATTTAAAATGTCCTCTTAGGGAGCTTTTTGTATGGAATACTGTATGATCCAAAAATAAAATCTGGGTGGCCTAAGTTTTAGGCAGGGAATAAGAAGTACCAAAGTGGTTCCATAGGTTTGAGGCAGAGAAATCTCATTTTAGTGCCTTAAGCAGAACTTGAATTTGAATTATATTGCCTTTATATTATGCATGACAAATGTAAGAATTTTTTTTTTTTTGGCTGGTAACTATACCCAGACAGTGAGTCACCCTGAAGAAAAGCATTATTACAAGACTCCAGGACTTTACAGTTCCCAAAGCATTTCAGATTTGGGTTTTCAAAGGACAAACTTCATTGTAATTCAGGAACATAATATTGTTAGACCTGCAAATCTCAGCTATTTCACTGTTTTCCAAAAAACAGGTAAGTAGATGTCCAAAATATTTCTTTTGAATTTTTTTGAACTTTCTAGTTGTGCTTGAACAAAATGAGAAAGTGTTAAGCATTTTTCTCTGTGCAGAGGGCTTCTATGAATGTAATCCTTCCAAGTAGTGCACACAAAGCTGAAAAAGTGAACTTGATGTTTGCTTTGATTTTTCTGGTTCTGGGAATCCAGCTGGAAAGATCTAGTACATGATTCACCTTAATGCTGAGCGCCAGTGCAGGGTAGCCAGGAGGGGGGCTGTAGAGGAACAGACACCTACACAGTGTGTGTTTTGGGAGCCTTTTTTTGGATTCCAGTTTTCATCATGGCAGCTGGAACAAGTTTTCCTGTCTGGTTTCTCCTGGAAGCAGTGTGGTTTGCATGTTCTTGACTATGTTAAGTAGTATAAATGAAAATGCAATAAAGTCACTTCAAAGAATGGCCCTCATCCACAGGAATGTTGGTGCAGATGGACCTGATGGATCCGGATCCTTTTTGTATGGCAAAACCACGATGACATCAGCATTGTCGAGCTTTCCCTGAGAGCAACTGTGGAAACCTGAAATAATATGGGCAGCAAAAATTGTTTGCTTTAGGTCGTCTAGCAGATACGTATTTTTTCTAATCTGAAGTCTTAATTTTTTATGAAATCACAAGATTTATCTGTTTTCCACTATGTTTTTGTTTGGAATTATCATCAAGGTGGAATGAGATGCATCTAACTATATAATCAGACATGACACACTGGAACATGTGTTAATTTAATAAAAACAGTTAAAAATAATGTCTTATCTCCATGTATTTGTTAATTTCTTGTGTCATGGCAAACAACTGTGAGCTAGGGACTGATCTGTTTTACAGCAGTGTGTGTTTGCAGTGATTCTGTACCATGTACTTATGTACTGGCTTTTATGTGGTCCTTGACCATCTGTCTTCATTGGTGTGTTTGAGGAGTGTTGCTGTGCTCATATGTATAGGACTTAACCCACCTGCCTTAAGGTTACCTAGTTTTGCATGCATTCAGGCAAAAGCAAGGTCATGTGTCAGCCACTAGAGGGTGAATCGTCTTGTCTAAGAGCCTTAATCTCTTAGCTACTCGTGTTGCTCTGTTTCAGCTCAGCGGAGGGAATCAGGAGTGCAGGGTACCATGTCAGTGCTGCCTTGATGATGCAGAGATGCTCCATGATTGTCTTGCACAGTTTGAGAAGACTACCGATGTTCAGCTTTTAGAGTAGGCATCTGCAGCACTGGGTGAGTTTTGATCCCTTCCTTTCCCTTCCCTCCTACATAAGGAAGTTGGCATCAAGTGCTCCCCTTTACATATATATAGAGAGAGCATGCTATGGATATGAGCAGAGGGCCAAGTAGATTTCTCCTGCTTCTCTGCTGCACCAGAGCCAAACCATAGTGTTGTGGAAAAACCAACTGGAAATGCACAATGTCGAGTAGCATTGGCATCTTCGGTCAGTTTTCTCAGTTTGTCAGCTTTCCTGCAAAAAGGGTAACAAAGAGCAGCAGCAATTTTGAGTTTGGCATAAAGCAGCTGTTTACTTTGATTTCTCCTTTTTGAAAACTGATGATTCTTGTGCATCAAAGATGTCAGTTTTATTCTTGTCCTTTTTACATAAGGATGGGAAACTTGGTACATTCTCAGCTAGAAAAGCAAGGCTGATATGGATGTGAGGCTGGCTGTTCATTGTGAAGAACAGTAGCCCTTCTGTCACGTATCTCTGGACCAAGTGCAATAAAACAATAAAGGGAGTCTTAAATCAATAGACAAGCTTCTTAAAGGACATCTTTGTAACTAAGCTGTTTTGTGGTAGTGTTTTTTTTTTTTTTAAATGTCTGAATCACATAATTGTAAATGTTGGAAGGGACTTCTTGATGTTGTAGAGTCCAACCTCCCTCCTAAATAGACCTCCACCCTACAGTCAGATGCGTGGGCAGATGCCTAGGTGGGTCTTGAATATTTCCAAAGGAGGAGACTCTACAACTTATCTGGGCAGCCGGTTCCAGTGCTCCATCACTCTCTCACAGTAAAAAAGTTCTTCCTTGTATTAGTATGGAACTTCCCATGTTCCAGTTTTTGCACATTGCCCCTTGTTTTATTGCTTCTTGCCAATGAAAAGAGTGCTTCCATTGACCCATTGACTTGACTCCCATGCTTTAGATATTTATAAACATATATATCTTATAACATAGTTATAAGATCACCTCTCAGCCATCTCCAGGGCTGAACGGTCCCAGGTCTCTCAGCCTTTCCTTACAGGGAAGATGCTCCAGGTCTCTAATCATCGTGGCTTAAAGGAAAACTGCTTTTTGCTGATTTCTGACAGAGCACATGCTGCGTATGTGACGCTTCTTAAATCTAAGCATTTGGTAGATAGCAACAGTACCGTGATCCAAAGATGTGTTCAGCTGATGGCTCCCTGTGCCAGACAGGGCCACATGTGTGCAGAGTTTCTGCTGAAGGAACAGAAATGAAGAACTGAATAGGGGAGCAACTCCTGCTGTTTTGTATGTGTGGTGGAACTAGGCTCTTTATTTAAAATCTATCAGTCAGTATCAGTTTTCTTGGGCTCTTCGATATGTTACTGCTGCAAAGAAAACCTCTCAGAACTCATTTGGTTAGAAGAGTTAGGCAAATATTACAAATGGTTCCTATACTGCTTTACTTTAAAGTTTGCTTTTTAATTGAATGCATTCTTAAATGACACTTCCTTCGAATGTTGTTTGCAAGCCTCCCTTCGTTGCTAGTGGTTTTTACTCAGATGCAAATTAGTTTCCCTAAAGACAGAAAAGAGACTTGTGAAACATTTAAATAAAAGTATGATGAATTTGTTTTCTGTAAGCTTGGATAGGTCAAGAAATAATGGATCGTCTCTGATTTACTTGATTACTGGAAAAGGGAAGGAATTAAATAGATATATCTGAAAGGTTGTGCTATGCTGCTTGATGGTTATCCCCTCAGCTCTTGTGTTTTTAACCTTCTGGTTCTGGGCAAGTTCTTGAGGAAGGACGTGCCATCAGCTTGATGTATCCAGAGCTCTTTTAATCACAGATGGTTCTTTGTAAGTCAAAAGCAATCAGCTGCCTGTGATTGTCACACATCTCTGACCTTCCCTAGACTCTCAGGATCATCTTCAGTCTGCAACCTTTGAGTGACCCAGACAGTCTGGCACTCCACACCAGATGACCTGCATACCAAAGGTACCTGTTATTGAGATCATCCTTGCCCAGTGGACAGACCTTCACCCAAATGACAGACTGGTACTAAGAAACCATCCATCCTGCACTAGAGGATAATAGGAAGATAAGAAATATTTTTTTTCACCACTATAATAGATGGCCAGAAGAGGTTATAGACTCTCCATCTTTGAAGATATTGATTAACCTAGTTGGACATAATCCTGAACAACCTGATCTGGCTTGATTTGAGCCAAGGAACTTGGGTTAGCCCAGTTGTAGTACTGTCTCAGGCAAGCTGTCTGTCCCTGATGGTTCCAATGGCAGGTAAGTGCTCTAGCAAACAACCTGTGCACAACTGGCACCTGGCCATCTTCACGCTGATGGCCGGTACTTTCTTTGGATGCAGTAACCAGGGCTGTTGTCTGCAGCTTATCTGGCACTATTACCATTAAAACAGTAACCAATGAAAGTAGTAGAGCATGGAGAGGAAAACAAGCTATCCTGTGCTGAATAGGTAGAGAGAGGGTTACCCAAGTGTGAGCTCTCACTTAAAGGCACCAAACCTACAGTACTCCAAACTGGGACCCAAATTTTGCTACAGAGCAGTCCTGCTTGAAAGCATGCTGAGCTTTTCTTCATAGTTACTCAGTCTGACTGGGAGGGCAGCCAGAATTGAAAAGGCCATAAGATGGAGGTCTTGGGCTTGATGCTCATTATGTCCAGCACAGTATGAAAAGCCTCAAAGACTATTACAGCATACAATACATCAAGTGGCTGTTCACAAGAACCACACTTCAAGTCTTGCATGATGCTGCAAAGTAAATTGGGACAGAAAATAACTGTGACAGAAGGAGATTCAAAAAGGCAAGTTGCAGCTTGGCTTTCAGGGGGCAAGTTAGCTGCTAAGAACTAATATGAAATCGTATCATTATATCATGTCATAGAATGGCTTGGGTTGAAAACGGTCCTCAAAGATCATCTAGTTTCAACTTCTCTGCTACGGACAGGGTCACCAACCACTAGACCGGGCTGCCCAGAGCCGCATCCAGCCACCAAATGAATGCCTCCAGGGATTGAGTATCCACAACCTCTATTGGCAACCTGTTCCAGTGTGTCACCACACTCTGGAAAAATTTCCTTCTAATATCTAACCTAAACCTCCCCTGTCTTATTTTAAGCTCATCCATCTTGTCCTATCACTATCAACCCATGTAAACAGTCATTCCCCCTCCTGTTTATATACTTTCGTCAAGTACTGGAAAGCCATTATGAGGTCTCCCCAGAGCCTTCAAATCTAAGCTAGCCATTTTCTAGAAACATAGAGCCATAAAAAAGTCTTGTTTGGGGCATTTTGTCTCCTGCAGAGAAGACATAAAATAGAATGGGTTAGCCGGAAGGGACCTTCAGAGATCATCTAGTCCAACTGCCTGGCCACTTCAGGGTTAGCCAAAAGTTAAAGCATGTTATTGAGGGCATCATCCAAATGCTTCTTTAATATTGACAGGTATGGGGCATCAGGCTGCATCGGTGGTCCCAGTAAGTCTTTCTGCTGTGTGAAATGATAGTGTTCATTTAATTTGTGCAGTACCTGTAAGGTGATAGTGAATTTATTTTTATCTTAATGTACTGCATTTCTTTTTTGCCCTGATCCAACATATAAAGACCTCACATTTCTTTGGGGATGCTCTGCATCTTGACTATGAGCAAAGGATTTGTGCAGTGACTAGACATTGTGGATTCTTAGCCCAATTGCCACGTAACCCTGGGAACAAAATGTGGGCTGGCCTGTTTCGTTGTACCAAGTAGCAGCTCTGGCTGAGCAGCTGCAGAAGACAGGTAGGCATGTGTTACCTTTTTGTCTTGAACGGGGTGACAGGCTATGAATTCTTTCTTAATGATAATGGAAGTGGGGGACTTCTGTTGTCTAAGGGCGTTGTCGGTATTCTGGGCTGGCCTTTCTGGCTGCAATGCAGACGGGTGTAGCAGTTTCTGTTATAGGGCACGGAAAGAGGGACTATTTGGAAACCAACCAGGGCAGGATCTAGCATACCTGAGAGCTTGAGGCCATTGCTATAACATCTTAGAGCTTCTGCACACTTAGTATCTCAAAGCTGTATGGGCATGTAATAAAATTTGGCCTCAAGTGACTTTTCATGGCTCAAGATAAAGTACTTGGCTTATCTCCCAGCCCTGACACTTGCTCTAGAGAATCATTCCATCCCTCTAATGGAAATTACGTGTTTGTTTTTCTACTTATCAGTTACTAAAAGCCTTGGCTGGGAATTTCAGGTGCCAACAAAAGGATGGGACAATAAGTTGTTTTTATCTGTCAGAACAGGAGAGGAATATAGCATGTCTCTAGCTGAAGTTAAGAAGTATAAAGAAATTTTGAAAGCCAGATGTAAAATGCCTTTGTATTTTCAGGAGAGGGACCTGAAGCTACAGCTGAGCTGTTAAGGTGAGCTGGTGGAAAATGAGTTGACATCTCCTAAGGAAGAATTTTAGTGAAGCAGGTCTGTGTGTTCTTACCAGGTACTTACAAAAAAAATGTAGTAATTTAAGTTGGAAGAGACATTCAAAGGTAATTGTCCAAGCCTCTGCTTGAAGCAGGTCTAACTATTTCAAGTTGATCGGTGCCGTGTTCTTTAACAGTGTTTCTTCAGTTCTGTTATTGCTGGCAGGAATATTCACTTCTCATTTTGAGAATAATGCCTGACATAGTCTGTGATCTAAAATTCATGGCCTGAGCTGAATAACTGGTAGACAATTATGTAAAATATCTTTGCTTATGAATTCCAAAGATATTATTGCTTTGGGACTGGCCAATAGCCTTCTCTTAAGGCGTTTTCCATCTCAACAGTCATGTAGCCTATGTGAGTATGCAAACATAAACCAAGACAGCTTATTATTAGCATTCTTAGGCAAGCAGACTGTCTGACTGGCTAGGCTGACTTTGCAGGGTTAAATGGAAGGTATTGTTATTACATCTTTTTGCACTTTCATTCACCAAATCCTGTGCGCCCACGTTTTCTCATTCCCACCCTATACTTTGATAGCTAGTTTCTCTATTACTTCCGTAGTATCAACCAAAAAACTACTGCCTGTGTTTGCTGAATAACTCTCTAATACCAAGCACTTTGTAATTTGCTAATTTATTATGAAGAAATTTGTTCCTTAATGATTGTCTTTTCTTGGCCTGTGTCCTGTTGTTCTCGTGGGACAAGTATGTGTAAACAGCTTCTGTATGTTCTGACATAGGCAAGTATATTTCTTTATTTTTCACTGTTTAAGTTTAAAAAAAAAAAAAAAAGCCATCTATTTTAATAATTAGGCAGATCACAAAATATTCATTGATCTTAAGGAAACCAAATCACATTTCTGGAATATCTCTGTTCATGCTCTGGAGTAAAAACAGGAAAGTCTGTCCTTTTGAGGTGAGCTTTAAAAAATTAACAGAAGTACGTGTATTTGTTGTCTAAGTCCTTTGCTATAGTTCTACCTCTTGAAACCGTTGTCAACTTGATTCTGATGAATCTTCTAATGAATACTCTCTTTCTCCAAGAAATCTCACTGCAAAATCTAAGATCTCAAGTAACTTTTCAGCTCTAGGTATTTGCTAAAATAAAACTCTGCTGGGATTTGTTTTTTTTTACCTGACCCAGGTAGGTAGAGTTGGCCTTTGCTCTTCTGGAAACATCAAGGAAATTTCTATGCATCATACACTGTCAATACTTCAAGGCTGTGCTTGGCCTAGGTACACAGGGCACATTATTAGTGGTCTTGAAATACTAATTGCCCTGGTTGCAGCTGAAACAGAGGCAATTTTCTTCTAGCATCTGGTATGATGCTATGTTTTGGTTTAGGAGAAAAACAATGTTGATAACACACGGATATTTTAGTTGCTGCTGAGCAGCAATGTACAGAGCCAAAGATGTTTTAACTTCTTGTCTTGCTCTGCCAGCAAGGGGCCTGGGGGGAGCACAAAGAGCTGGTAAGGGAACAGAATCAGGACAACTGGCCCAGACTGGCCAAAGGGATGTTCCACACCATATGACATCATGTGAAAAAACTATAATATTGTGGGAAGTTGGCCAGAGGAGCAGCCAGCTTGGGAACTGTTTGGGCATCAGCTGGTGGGTGGTGTGCATCATGCATCACTTCTTTTGTAAATAAAAATATAAATACACACACATAAAAGTATAATTACTACTATTTCTCTTTCTTTTCCATCTTGGTAAATAGTTTTTATCTGAAACCATGAGTTCTACTTTTTTTTTCTGGTTCTCCTCCTTGTCCCAGTGGGAAAGGGGGGAGTAAGCAAAAGGCTGTGTGATGTTCAGTTGCCTGCCAAGTAAAACCACAACACTAATGAAAAAGTTAATGTTACTAACCCACTAACAGTGCTTCTTTTATCTTTGTGTGCGGACCATTGTGCACAGCCTCAGCTTGACCATTCTGGGAAGCAATAGCTACATGCTTCTTTGGCTTACATCCCAAGCTTAATTAAGCCTTTTATATGTTACAAGGACGTGTTTTGTAAGTATGAAATAATTTGTGATCTTAAGGTTAAAAAAAAAAAATAAGCAAAAGGATTTAAACATATTTTGAATATCCTCTGGATTCAATTGGTTGGTAAGGATGGAATGCTGGAGTTCCTGTGGATGTGCATGTGTGTTCTGGGTGGAGCAAGAAGTTCCTTTAACAAAGGACTTTTCTTCGTAAGCTTTCTTTGGATTTTATTGCTCTTAAAGAAAACTATGGCACTGGGTGGGAAGTAGAAGGGAAGGTCAAGAGGAAAATATTAGTACTTGAGACAGCTGTGTGTTTAGTCACTAAAGTCTGATGTAAGGTAGGTAACTGCAGCAGTGTTTTTTCTACGGGGAACCAAGAAGTCAAAAAAAAAAAAAAAAGCAATTTTGATCCAAGCAATGGAAAAAATCAGAAAAACAGGAGATACTGTGCAGCAGTGTACAGCTTTTACCACTATCCTAGAAGTAGACTGTCTGAACATATGTTCCTCAAATTGCGTTGAAGTTCCTGTGAGTGGATGTTTTTGGGGAGAGAGGGCAGTAGGTAGAGCGAGGTGGAAATTTACTCCTACTGTTTTTTACCCCAGTGTTACTCAGGTTTTTGTAAGATAATAAGCATTCCCACCAAAATGACTGAAATCTTGATAGGTTATTGGAAAGCCAAACACTTCAAACTTTATAGCAAAAAATCCAAGTGCATCAGTGGCTGGAAACAAGGAGTTTGGTCTTTGATCATTTTCCTTTTTAGTCTAGGCGTTTAGATGTAAGAGCAGAATCCCTCAACAGGGGATATCTATTTTTCTCCCTTCCAGCTGGCTCTGAAGAGCCATGTTTGTGCTGGAAGAAGGGAATTCCAAGGAGATTGGTGGCCCTTTTCACAGAGTAAGCATTTTCCACAGGCGGGGTTATGCCAACCATTAAATGACTAATGTATAATTAGGAGGCTGGATACTTATAGTTGTCATGTCCCTGGTGCCAGGGGAGTCCAGGACGACTGTGAAGGAGTGAGCATCAAGGGAGGTTAGGCTTGGTCAACCAAGCCATTTATGTCTGTATTTGTTTTTCTGTTCAGCTTCTGTGTTGGCAATCTCAGGAGGCAAGTGATTTAGCAGTGTAGACAGTGCGGTGGCTCTCCCTTATGGCTTTTACAGTGAGTGTATGGTAGAAGGTGCTGCCAGCCAGAAGGCCTGCTGTAAGGACACAAGTTGGACAGAAAGGGAGTGCTAAGAAAGGGAAATTTAACACACTTCCTGTTCTGCTGTGGTGAAGAACAAGTCTTCTTGCCTGGGCCGGTTTATCTGCTCTGTCCATCTCTGCCTGGGGAATTCTTTGATGCTGAGCTGATCAGAAGGTTAGAGTCTCCTTATCGACTCCATGCTTACCTCTGTTTGTTTTTATTCCGAAGTTTGCTCTCTTATTTTGCAATAACCCACAGGGTGCTGGGTGTTGCGCCAGCCGTGCCTCAATGAAGGATCTTCATTCAACACCTTTCCCTTCTCGTCACACCAGTCAATGCGACTCCTGCATTTTCCAGCAGCATTCACTAAGCAGTCCAGACTTTAGTCAAGCTCTGGTTGGAGGACAGAAAGGCTACCAGACCTACCGGGATCTACCATGGGATCTTCAAAAGTAGGTGATGTGTTTTAACTCAGTAAGTTTGATTTAGAGGTGCAATGGAAGAGGGATGTTGCTTATGGGAAAACTTAAGGAAGTGAAGGACGTAAACAGATCTAAAGAAGACATTGTTTGCTCTCTTGTCTGCTTTTAAACTTCCGTGGATCTCTGCCCAACTTCATTCTTTTAGAAGTAAAGGGCATCATGGATCTATCCAAGATGTACAACCTAGAAAGGTGTGATAGAGGGAGGCTAAACAGTAAGCTGCTGACTGTAGGGAAGACTTTGGAGACTGTTTTGCATGAAAAGAATAATGTATGGCTGGGGTGAGGAATGCAGAGGTAAATCCTTTCTTAGCGTGGCCAGGAGCACAAAGATTTGCTTTCTGTTTAGAAGGGTGATGTGACAGCTTAGGTTGACACTTATTTTTCCCCTCCCTGTAATTGTCTTCTCCTGCCCCCAGCGGGATTTTACTGAATCGATGAATTCAGTAAGCTCTTTTGTGTCAAAATCAAATTTTAATAATATGATTTGGGATAACCATACCTTTTGGTCAGGTCTACTTGCAATATTATTCTCCTGACCATATAAAGGGTCCATGTTAAATCAGCAAAGGCAGCATAGCTACATAAGGAGAGGGTATCTTGAAGGTTTTTGTTCTGCCAGGTTGTCTTTACAAGTTTTTAAGGAAGAAGCCATGATTTCTGGATATAGTGACCAGGTGTTTTGTATTTGAAAGGATTTTAAGCAGACATGCTGGATGTTCTTAGTCTTGTTTTACTGTAACTCAAAGACACTTCTGGAAAGTTCTGCGTACTTAAAAAAAAAAAAAAAAAAAAATTATAGCTGCAATACTATCTTCAAACAGAGAATGCATCCAATCATGTATGTTTAGTAGGCCACCTGGAATTTGTTCTTTCTGCTTAATGCTCTGGCTCCTGGATTCAAGCAGCAATAGGAGATACTCAGCTTCTCTTGAATTGGCCAGTTCCCCCAAGAAAATGTGGTTCTTTTTTCAGCACCCTCATGATTTGTCTGGATAGCTGAATTTTTCTGTATGATTGCTTAAGACCACGATATTCTCTCTGCCTTTATGTTGAGCAAAAGGCTGTGGACAATTGCAAGATACTTTTTATTTTTCCAACCTCAATATTAAAAAAAAAAAAAAAAACACAACACAAAAAAAGACAATTTCTGAATTGAAATAGCAATATTATTTCTGGACTGACAAAAGTTATTCATTCTGTCCATTTAAATGTTTTGGTGTTTTTTGTTTGTTTGGGTTTTTTTCCTATGAACAACAATGTTATAGTGTTGACTTTACTAGGAGGAGGCTGAGTTCAGCTTTTGACTCTGATCCTTAGTGGGACCCTGATGACCCAAAGACCTTGCATCTGGCTCAACATCCATGCCTTTAAAACTGTGCTGCCTGACAGTGAGGAGGATTCCCCTCAGTTGTGAATACCTGTTTGTGCATGTTACCTAAAGAATAAGTGAGAATCCTCTACCTAGCAGAAATGAAAAACTGTTCTTTTTTCTAGTTGGATGGAAGTCTAGTTGCTATATCTTTTTTGTATCAACAGTGGTGTAAATAATTAATACTAGTTTGTTAAAGGATAGTTAAACAAGATTTAAGTCCATTTTGGTTGTTTCTTAGTGAGAAAAGGATTTAGTTGTTTAAATAGTTCTTTAAATTATTGTAAAATCTTAAGTATATGGGGGAAATGTGGTGGATAGCTGTATATTTACATATTTGGAGAAGGAATAAGACTGCCTGGTTTTAATCAGAGACCTAGTGTAGCCTGTTAGATGTCCAGATCTTTGTTGGCCAGGGATATAGATGTGTGTGTACAGTTGTGAAACTTGCTCTTTGAGTGCATCACACTGTATCCTAGTCTCTTACAAGAGACTAGCTTTATCCAATTTCAGGATGCCTCTTTTTACAGCAGTTTGAGCTAAGCTGGAACATGTGCTCTGTAAGATCCTTCAGGAAGCAAAGCTACTAAGGAAACAGGATGGAGTGGACAGCCTTGTCGGTCTTGTCCATCCTCTGCTGTGCTGTGCCCTGTGGTCTGAGGAGCAGTGACCTACCTCAACTTCCTTGTGAAGATCTTGTGGACGGGCAGGATGAGGTGCACAGTAGCTACTGTTGTCTATGTTAGTCTAAAAGTGAATATGTAGGTGGAAATGCAGTGCCACTTGCACCAATTTGTCATTTAGTAGGTGGGCAAAATAAGTATTAAATTACAGACTGCTGAGGTGTAGCAGGAAATGAATACCAGCCTTGGTGCAAGGACAGTCATGGTGCATTGGCATTTATGGGAGTTAAACTTGATTACTGCAGGAGGCAGATATTCCTGCATGGTGTCAAACAGAAACTTCTTCATTTGTCTGCCCCAGTCTAGTTTTGGATTCCAGAAAATCATGGTAAAATTGTGATACGCAGCACCTGATTTGATACCAGTAGAATTATTACTGTTTGTTTTTTCCTTGCCACACACTCATTTTCTGAGCTTTTCAGATAGAAAAACAGAATGACAAAGAAGTTATTCCTGAGTCTTAAAATCTTATCATCTTCATTAACTGAGCAAGCCTCAATGTAGTATCAAATGTGTTTCTGATCTCTGCTGTTCCTACTAGAGAGTGCTGCAAAAGTGCATCACTACTAACTTTTTAATAGTTTATGATGGTGCATTTTGGGTCAGCTGAAACCTTTAAATTAAGGCATTCAATTTCCATCACATACTCTGTCCATTTCTGTATTTCCGATTACAGTGATCTTTGTTCTGAATGAAGTCTTGTTATCACAAAGCTTGGGATGGCTTAGTTTGATATCTTTCTGATACCACAGTCTGACAACTTCATGCGGTCTGTGGACAGATTTGATGATAACAGGAAGAGATTTCATACAGAAATGAATGTAGGAGTTGCTGAATTCCGCTGTCATTGGAGGATTGCCCTTCGCTCATCTGCACCTCTTGGCTATGAAACCTTCTCTGATTTCAGCAGCTGCGAAGAAATTTGTCCATATCTATTCAGTGAAAGAAATGTTGCTAGATCATAACATCTCATTCTTTATCTACTCAGCCCATCAGTTGTTGATAAACTATAAAGTGGACAAATTTATTATTCAGCATGAAATTATTCAGCAAACCATAGGAAAATCTGAATGCTTTGGGCCAAACTCTCAGTGGATATAAGTTGTCACATGCACACAAACTGTCACAAAGGAGGAAGGCTGGTCTGTTATATCAGACTTGCAGAATTCTTCAGGAGCCATGTATGTATAGTTCTTCTACTGTGGTATTCTGTACACCCAGTAAACAGATTAGTATACTGTCACTGTCCTATTATGTGTATATTTATATAGTACCATTATTGCTAATGCTGATGAAATACTTTTTATAAGTTTTTCTCATAGCACCTTAAAGAAGAATGAAATACTGCACATTTTAAAACCATGGGGATCTGCTTAAGCTGTCTTCTTTTATAGCATAAAAACCAAAGGACATTTGATAACTCACAAGAAAACATCTCTCATTGGTAACAAGTTCTCCCAAAACTGCCTCACCTATTAAGTGGTTATCTTAAGATGTATTTATCAAACATCTGCTTATCTGAGGAAATTCAGCTTAGAGGTTTCATGAATTAAGTGAAAGTCATGTAGATGAGGAAGATTACGTAGTGAGTAACTGCTGCAGATGAGGATTTCTGTTTGCTAAATGGAACATGGAACTTTGAAAGAAATAAATTAAGAATAAGGGTTTTAAAAAAAACTATTTGCAAAAGAATTCTGAAAGTTTATAATACATTACATGGTGTTGTCTATATAACTGCATCCCAGCCAAGTAACTTCTGGTCTGATACCATTCTTTCACTGATACAATAGGCCGTTACTTCTTTACACTCATCTGCGGTGTGAAGCTGGCATTCAGCCTCTTAAATGGGTTTCTCAAACCCAGCATTTTGGTTTGGGGCTATGCCAGTATGATTATAGCTGAAAGACCTTCTGAGTGCTTTTCCTTCTGTTCAGCTTAAGGAAGAAAATTTCTTTTTTAAATGAAACTGTCTAAGATAAGATAATGAATCTGAGTTGGTTGTGTCAAGTTAGTTGTGGGGTTACAGGTAGGTTTGGGGTTTTTTCAACCTAGTCTCGCTTCAAACATGGCAGAAACATTTGCAAAGCATATTGTTGTAAATGCAGAGGAAGAAATATGTTAGTTTGGACTGCTTGGTGGAGCAACAGGGGAAAAATAAAACACAATAAACTAAAAGTGAACTCACCGCTGACTTAATGATTCAACCTAAGAGCTACTGCTAACCCTACTAGAGCTTTGAGACTTCTCATATAATAAGCTGAGTCCTAATAGATACTGAATTAATGTGACCTATCCATAAAGGTTGCCTTGGTCAATGAATGTGCCCCGTGGAAATCAGACTCCAAGCAGTGAGCAAGCATTAGAAGCTTGGTTAAGTAACTTTGGCATTACATTTTAAATAAGCACGGGTAGTAAAAATAATAGTATTAGAGATGGGAAGATATGGGTCTTAGACTTTTTTTTGGTCAATATTCTGACCAAAATGCTTACAAACTCTCTTTTCAAATTATTTAAATTATCCTATTTCCTATTTACTTTCTAATAATCAAGATCATTGTCTGCTAGAAAGGAAAGCCAGTTTATAGGAAACTGCCCCTAACTTCTTCATAATTTCTTGTATCTGAGTCTGAACGCTTGTGAGTTGATCTGTCTAGGAATGTGTGGCTTAATAAAAAAGGTAACATGAGACATGAGGAAAAAATGCCAGAGGAGATTGATCAGCCAAAGCCTCAGTGATTATCAAAGCAAATTAGTATATTGAAATGTTTCTTAAATATTCTTGTTAATGAGCTGAAGCCCTGACCATTTATATGTACATGTTTCTCATATCTGCGGTTGGTGTAAAGGAAGTTTCCTTTTGGTAGGCTCAGAAATAAAATTGGAGCTGCTTATCACCAAATTCTTATTAGAACTGTTTACTTTTGGTCTTTTTTTCTGCTGTGTATTCACAAATGCATTTTAAAGAAAGCCAGACAAAATGAGAGTTTAATTAATAAGCTGTCCTAGAGGGTAGGAGGAGTGAAGGGAACACTAGATAGGAAAGCCAGGGAAAGTCAGAAGTGATATGAGCGACAAATGAGAACTTCCATTTTTCACTCAAGCAAATATCACATTTAGTCTGAATCAGATGTTTTCCAAGCAACATTAAAGTAGTTAGGGCTTTAAAATGAAATTACAATGGAGTGCCAGAACCTACTTCTGATGCACAGTTCACAACATGCCTGCTGACTTAGTCAGGATGCCGCTGCAGCAGATCCTCGCAATGATTTTCAACTTTAGTGCATTTAAACTTAAGGTTCATGGATGTTCCAGAGGCGAGCTGAATTTACTTGGTTATGAATGTGAGAACTTGCTGAAATACCCTCAGGATTGTGTCCCCACAGCCTTGTTTCCCAGATGTACTCTGAGCTGAAGGTATAAACATTATCGCATGAGGTGGCTGGCTCTAGCAGCAATGACTCTTAGCCAAAAACCCTTCCTTCCTGTTCTGTATTTTGTAATGGCTGATAACATCATAGAAAATATGGCTTAAGATGTCTCTGGGTTCATGGCTGTAGGCAAAATTTGCTCTGATAATCTTTTGGGGGCAGTCAGTTTGTCTAAATATCATATTGACCTACTGACTATTGACTTGCTATGTATTAATTTGGATTAACACCTATGTAATTAAGAGCACAGCAGAGAAAAGTACCTGGCAAGGCTTCCTACATGCGTTCCGTTGTCCACTCACCTATCTCTGCCCTTCCCTGTCATTTCATCCATTCAGGTGAATGTACTTGGAACTGTGCTGGTCTTTGCTTTTAGATTTAGCCAGAGTAAAATAGGAAGGACAAGCAATCCCTCCAAAATCTATTTCTTTTTGTTGTTGTTACTGTTGTCCAGTCCTACTTTGCAGGAAAAAAAAATAGACTGAACAGTTTGGATAATGCATATATACATACTATACAAATAATGGGATGCTTTTTACTGACTTTGTTGTATGAAGGACTTCTGGGAGCAAAGGTGCTGTAATAGCCAGCTTGTTTAACTTACCGAAAGCTGCTTACATTGCTCTACAAGTATTCACTTAGCTGAAAAATGAACATAGCAGTTTATTCTTAGAAATTTCCAGTCAGAGATCACATAAGAAGATTCTTACTGGGACTCATATGTAAGTGAGCCCTAAAAAAAGAAAAAGAAAAAGAAAAGTAAAAAATCAAAGTCTACACCAGGATTCTGTGACTGGCAAATCTCAGCATCTACTTCAAAATAGTCTTGAGTGTGGTTTCATTTTTAAAGATGTTGGATAAGAACTCAATACTGCCGGGAAGAATCAACTGATGTTAAGGGAGGAAACTTCATCATCTTCTTTTTTTTTTTTTTAATTAAAAATACCTCTTAGAAATCTTTTTTTTCTTCTTTCTTCTTTTTTTTTTTTTTTTCCAGAATACATCAACCAGCCATCAAAATAAGACATCTCGAACCATGGAAAATTGCTCTAATTGTTATTGGAACAGCATTGGCAGCAGCCATCACCATTGGTCTCCTAGTTTATTTTCTGGCATATGGTAAGTTTTACAGAACTTACCACTGTTCTATTCCTGCCTTTAGTGCATCTCCTTTGTGCTCATGGCACATAATGCTGAGATTTTGTTTTTCATCAGTCCACTGGATTCTCTGGAGCTCTTTCCATCCTCATTTAGCATCTTTGCAGATCTCTTTTTCAGGAGCATTTCCTGCTATGCAGTGTGCTTAGGGCTGTGGTTTCTGTTGCCTTTCACTTGCTTTCACTCCTTTTACATCTTCCTCTTGATCTACTTCTGGATGAGGTCAACACATGAGCCTTCTGGCCTTTGTTAAGCAAGTGACAGCTGAACCTTCCACTCAATTCTACCTGTGTTGTTTCCCCATTCTCCTGCTTTGATCTCCAGCAACTGCATCCCACTGTTCAGTGTTGTGTGAACATGCTGGCCAGGAAGGAATGTAGCTGACCAGTAGGATGCTACTTGTGATCTTGTGCGCATTGAGCCCAACATGCTGCTCAATGGCCACAAAAGTAACTGCTGGAGAAACTGGTTTTTCTTATTTGTCACTGCTTGGCATAGATCGCCCAGCAGAACTGAGTTCTTGTTCCTGGGTTCCTAGCTTTTAGAAGTTTTATTTGAATGGGTTGAGTACAAGTGAAGGATTATCCACTCCCCAGACATCTACTTAGTCACCCCCAGACCTTCTAAGTTCGTGGCTCTTGGTGCATTGTGAGTATTGCCTGTTCCTCTTCTCTCTACAGATCAGAAGCTCTTCTATTACAGTGGCAACATAAAAATCACCAACATCCAGTACAGTAATGAACTGTCCAGACAGACCTCAGGAAGGTTTAGAGACCTGAGCGAGAGGGTTGAGAGACTGGTAAGTTGGTACTGTCAAGCCTTTCCTTTATTAAGGACTGTGTGATGATAGAAAAGGCTTTAATGTGAACAGCCATCATTTAGACCACAAGTCTCCAGTATGCCCTAAAACCCTGGGTAGCAGACATGAGCAATAAGTAGCATTAAATTTGTGGTCATAGTAGGCAGACTAAACAGTCCCTAAATAACTTGTTTTAGCACATCACCTCTCTTTGTCACTGCAGTGGTGAGGTAGGTATTGATAATATTCTCAGTGTCCTCTTACATCAATGATAATTTGTCTGTGCCTTCTCTCTTCCTGCCTTGAGAATGACTTCTGTATGCCCTTACACATATGTGTACAGCACCAGGCACACAAGAGTCCAACCACTCGTGACAGAATTCACCAGACACCAAATTATTTCCCTTCTCCCTCCTCTTATAGCTAGCTACCTGGCACTGCTTTCTGGCTTTTCTGCTGCCCCACTATCTTGAAGGGAAGCATGCTTTTACACCCTCTCCTTAATTGGGGGTGGGGAACTCTATCTGTCAGACTGCTACTGGTGTTGAGAAAACAATACGCAAGCCTTTCTCCTGCTTCTTTGGTATGTTTTGTTGGGAAACCTTCCTACAAAAAACAGAGGGTGCTCATATGGAAATAAATAGATTGCAATTTCCTTTCTTGTTTTCTCCTTGAGACACTTCCTTACAGATGATAATTACAGAGTTTAGCTCTTTACAGCAATAAACATGTGATTGTGCTTGTATCTTTTTGTATTTCAGTCATTAGAGTCTGATACATATCTCTTACCCCCTGTTTAGCAACCTTGCTCAGATACTCAGTTAATAAGACAATCAATGTTTTGCTCCCCACTATCATTTAATGTAGGGACATATTTGTTCACAACACACTGTGAACACTGTATTGGAGAAGTAGGATTTGACAGTGCTAGCATCTCTTCCTAGCTCTATTGCTGAGAGCCTTGGAGATCTTAGTCAAGTTGTCCTCTTTTTTTTGTACTTATTTCCTTTCTGCCCCTTTTTACTACTAGTTACTATACCATATTTCACAATATCTGCTTCTGGTGCATGTCTGTATGTACAGTCTTACATAAGCTGCGTTTATGCTTGACAGCTATTACCTAATAATTGCAGGCTTTTAACCTTCTGATAGGACCATGGAGAGGGAATGTTCTCCCTGAGCAAGGAAACATTGTGCATTGCTGAGTTAGGAGGAAGGAAGGGGCTGAGAAGTCTTTGAGGAACAACACTTGAGTGAAGTTGAATCTCTTTCTCCTGCCTCATTGTCACCTTTTTTCCCCTTTTTTTTAATGTGACTCCTTCAGCAAAGAATCACCAATTCTAGATAAGAAGTTCTTTCAGACACTGTTCCATACAGCCAGAATGTCCACTGAACCTGGCTATTAATTCAAGTACTTGAAAGAAGGTCAGTGCTTCAGAAACTGTCTCTTCTGTGTGCACTGGGAACTTCTGACTGTAGTGACGATAAATACCAGTGCTGGTTGAGCAGTGAGAAACATGATTTCAGAGTACATTAATTCTACCAGATAAGCAATATTGTAACTATCATACAGGAGACAGTTGCCTTTCGTTAATTCCTGTGACTTTTTTTTTTTACAAGTTGACTGTAATTCGGGCTTTAACTTTCACCTTGCTCTCTCAAAGTTGGTGAGTTCTTTGCTTGATGAGACTGAGAATTGTCCATAAGGTTTTTTTGTTTGTTTTTTTTTTTTGTTTTTTTTAGCGACTCCACACACTAATCAATAACAGTATGGTCACCATGAGTCTGTCTGTCAAAGGAAAAACTCAGTTAGTAGTGATAAAAATCAAAGCAATCTTCCTAGAAACAGAAATATATTCTTGATTTCTTAGCAGACAGCTGCCTCAAAACATGTATGTCTTCATCATCATTGTTTTCACACCATCTTTCTAATAGGAGTGTAGATAGATGAGTTTGGATTTACCAAAACCCTCTGTAGCCCTACCCCAACTAAGTTCAGAGTTTTAGATGCCCAAGCCTTCCAGTCATCGTTAGTAGTAACGATACTTTAAGCTCATGTTGTGAAATAATGAGTCAATGCAGATAAATGTAGCATCTTTCACAATACTTCGTGTGCAGAGTGAACAGAAGTGAATCATCTCTGATAATCAAAAGCATTCAAATTACCGGAGTTAGTGCAACTCCCTGCTAGTGTTCCCTTCTCTGATCCCTCCCTTATGAAGCCTCCTTTGTTCCCAGAATAACCCTGAAAGGAACTCTTCTGAGTGTTGAAATTTCTCCATGAAAAAAGTTTTTCATCCCATTGATAGGTCATCCCGTGCCTTCCTTGGTACCTGCAGAAAACATCCTGGTGTTTGCTTTGATTTCCACAGCTGAATAGTAACACCCATTGTGTGACATTCCCAACTCTCTTATCTCATTGAAGGCGGGAGGGAGTGCGGGGAGATCATGCCAGAGAGCTGATGAAGCCGGTGTACCAGTCAACATCTCAGGGCTGACTGGAAAGTCTGGAAAATGGATTGTGGGGTGGAGCTGGGGGGGGACTGAGGAACAGATGATGAAAGCTGTCTGCTTCTTGCTTGGCTTCATTTGAGTGGCTGTAAGGGTTCCCTTTGTGCTCTCTTTCAAGAGCAAACCTGACTGAATGCTGCTGTGGAAAGAGATGTTTCAGTCTGCCAGTCTCCTTGTTCTTCTGGCTGGACCAGTCATTCTTCCCTTCCTAGCCTAAAATGCATTGTACCAGACCTTTTGCTCTTGAACTGAACACAAAGGGCATATTTGCAGCCACTGTTTTGTAGTAGGTCCACTTATTGCTTGAATGATCTGTGCACATATTAGATGCCACTGTTTTCCAGCACTGTTGTACCCTCTGGTTTTCTCTAGTTCATGTACCAGCTTGTTTTTTTCTTCTCCCACAAAATCTATTCATTCTCTTTTAGATTTCCCAAGTATTTCATCAGAAGGTCCTAACCACCCTATTAGTAACAGCATCCCAAGGGAGATATCCAAAGCCCTGCTCTAAACTTTGCTGCTTTAATTAAGGATCCCCTGGCACCCCAAATTGCAGCCAGAGCTGAGACAGCCAGCTCTATATGGATCCAAGTGACAGGGATGATTTTGGACAGCAGTGCCAACTGCCTTGTATGCAGGGAGAAAGATAGAGGTTCCTTGTTTTTGTGCAGTGTGGAAAGCTGTCTTTGATACTAATGGAAGGAGTTGTGTGTTGAAGAGAACTTGAAATGAGCACTTCATCAAGACCTTCTTAAAGACAATTGCTTCAGACAAAGGCTGGCAAATGTTTGACTGTGAGAGACTAATGGATACTAAGCAACTATGGCTTGTGTCCCCTTCAATACATGGCTGGTTGCTCAACAGAGTAAATACCAGCCTTTACTCTGCTCACCAATGACTTGCAAATGTACCTATCTGCCCTTCTCGTCACAACAATAACTTTCTGATTCTTCTTCCTAGATATTGTAGGAGAAAGAGAGATGTCTATTTGTCTTTCAGACAGACTTTCCTCTCTGAGTACAGTCTACACCACCTTTTTCATTTCCTGGGCACCTAGTATCCCCCTGCTGCCTACTTTTCTGGCCAACCTTACTGTCCGGCTGCTTCTCTCTCCCCTAATCCATATGTCTGACTCCCTTTGTGGACTCTTGCATTAGGCACTGTACTCTCCCCTGCTTTTGGAGATCTGCCCTGACCACTGTCCCATATTCTCTCCTGCTCTTTTGTAAGCCAGGCTGTGGGCTGGGTGGCTAGATCCTCCTCAGGAAGGAGTGTAGCGTGGCTCCCTCCTTGACTAATTGGACTGCTGGGGGAGAGGCAAGGTGTTTGTTTTCCCTCCATGTGTACCTTAAGCCACAGAGTGGACTAACATGGGCTTCCCTGCCATCTCATCCTCCACAAGGTACCTGGGCTCTCCCTCTTCCCACCATCATCAAAAACCAACATAAAAATTGTCTGGATCTGGGCAGAGGGGTTGGAGCTGAGTAGTCCTTTGCATCCTCAGTGACACAGTGCAGATTCTCAGCTGTTTTGGCACAAAATCACAGTATTGTAGGGGTTGGAAGGAACCTCCAGAGATCATAGAGTCCTACCCCTCTGCAAAGCAGGCTCCCTACAGCAGTCTGCACAGTAGGCATCCAGACAGGTCTTGAATATCCATGAAGAAAGAGAATCCACAACCTCCCTGGACAGCCTGTTCCAGTGCTCTGCCCCTTTACTGTGAAGAAGCTCCTTGCATATTGATGCAGAACTTCCTGTGTTTATGGCACATTTCAATTACGACTGAAGTACACTTCAGTTTTCCAGTGTCTGTGCTGTACACATGGGGAGCTGGGGAGTTGGAAGGCAAAATCCATAAAGCTGCTTCAAAACCTAAGAAGAGGTCCTATAGGGACAGAAAAGAATTTTTCAAGTGTTTAGAGATGATCAGGAAATGACCCACCTGGTCACTTTTTCCCACTGAGGTTTCACACATTACAATGTGTGAGTTTGTGTGGCCTTCTCTCTCAACTGTCATGTAAATACTTAACACCTCTGTGCTTTAACACCCAATAGCCTTATTTGGCAATTAGATTAGCCTTCAACGGGACAGTTCCCCTAACCAAAAGACTAGCTGTCTGCTTTATATTCAATTATAAACTTGATATAGTCCTGATTTGTGTTGTGAATAGCTTTCTTTCACATCTGCATAGCCAAAGCTAGACATACTAGCTATGCTTTCGATCTGAGAGAAATTCAGATAGAGCCTAACTTAGAAGTCTAGCAGGGGGAGAGGGTATATGAGACTCCTCTTGTACAAGACTTGGCTTTTTTTTTTTTTTAGCAGTCATACATGAGACAGGTCTTCCTGAGGAGTGAAACGTGTCTGAGAGAAAGGTGAAACAGATGCTTCATAGACACGAACTATCTGCAGAGTTGGTTGGAACTGTATACAAGGTGTTTCTGTCACACCTTCCATGTACGTGTTAAGGTACATATAAAAACAAGAC